AAAAATTATTTTCGAAACATAATTTTATGTAATTAATTTTCATATAGAATATAGTGACTTTCTTTCTAATATAAAACAATAAATTTCTCTTTATAAATTTCATTTTATATGGTGGCGAATCGAATTTGAAGAGACGGACAAACTTCAACTGAAACATCACATTAAATTAAATTAAATAATTCGGAAATTTCCAAAGGTCGATAATATAGAAGCTATAATGAGAAGAAACAAAATTTTTGTTCTAAATATAAACATAAACTAATTCATTGTTTTCGGAAGACAACATAATATTAGTCATGACGTGAAATTGATTAATGTCAAATTTGAAAATTCAATTTTCAATTAAAATTCTGAGTCGAGAAGCATTTTTCCTAAAAATATAACTTTCTTTTTTTATAGACAAATAATCACTAAACAAACGAAAAAAAGAAATTCATGGTAATTGTGACACAGTTTATCAAAAAAATAATTTCGACTGATATTTTATTCAGTTTCATTGTCGGATGTTGTGTCAAGTATGACTAAGAATTATCTTATATTTGCAAATGCGGAAATAGTCTTATTTGAATTTAATTTTTTTTATTTAAAACTCCATACGCGTGTGTTGATAAACTAAATAAGAATATGGCGAATAAATAACAAACAGTTCATTAATTTGTCTTAAAATCAAAACAAATTGCAAATAGATAATAACAAAAAACAAGTTTTTCCATTCAGTAGTTTCTAGTGATTATCAACTGTCTTAATAAATATTTATCTAAATAAATAAAACATTAAAAGAATGAATATTTCTATTGTTTACGAAAATGAATTATAAATTGCGACAAATGTAAATATAATTCCTTCTCTTATTTAAAGAAGAGAATTAAATTAAGGAAGAGACTGTTTTCAGTAATAATTATAGAGGAAACGGAAAAAAACTATTTAATAGACATCTAACGTAACTTCCGGAAAATTCAAAGTCTGACTTTATCGACAAACTTGTCGATATGGTAGTATCCTGTTAATTCAAAGACTTCCCAGACTCGTCTTGACAATGGTTCACAAAAGAAACTAATTATCTCTATAATATAGTCTAATTAGGATTCCAATATTGCATCGGTTCGATGTGTTCTCGCTTCTCTTTCCTGTCGATGAGCTTTGAAGAAACGATTATTATTAACAAAGAAACAGAAATACTCTCAGAAGAGTTGAAACACTTTTTTAAAATTTGTTTTATAAAACAAGTTGAATGACCTAGAGCTCGATTCACATATACACACACACAAATATACTCCTTAACATCTAATGCCAAATGCTCTTTGTTTTTTTCAAACATGCTCTATTATAATACATTCAACCTTTTCTCTCCCTTCTTCGTCTTCTTCTCCTCTTTCCTTTACCATCACGAGAGTCAAACACAGTTAAAACCCAAAAATAGAAACTAGAGTGCATTGAGCGACAAAGTGAGAATTTTTTTCACATGAAGGAAAAACTCTTTATGCAACAAATGTAGCGAATTGAGGACAATTTTCGAAATTCAACTGTTTAAAACGTTTAAAAATAACAAAAACCCAATTATTTTGCTAATAAACGTAATAATTGCAATCAATTATAAATAATCACTCTCTAAATCTGAATTTAATTAGTAAATTAGTAAAAAAACCGCGAACATAAAACCTAAAAATTACATTAACTAATGAACCTAATGATTTAGTCATTTTTGCTCGCATTTTTGAATAACTATTGATTAATTCATCTAATGAACGAATCAATCAAAAGTCAAATTCAGATTTAGAGAGTAAAATTTTATCGAACAATCAAAAGTAAAAATTGTGAGTTTGCGACAACTTTCCTAAAATAGAATCTTCTTTGAAAAAAGTGGATCTGACATAAATGAATCATGTATCAACTACATGGGGTTTCCATTTCAATGAAATATTTCTTCACTTAAGTCAAAACAAAAAAAAAAAAAACTTTAAACGAAAGATAAAGTTGCTCTTTTTAGAGGACAAATAATAAACTAGCAAAATAATCGATTTATAAAAATAAGATTTTGCTGATATTGAAAGAAGAACGTAAACTTTTTGTCAAGTGAAAAATCTTTTCCTTTTAAAACGATTTAGATATATTCCCAGGCTTGTCAAACATCTGTCAAGAGAAAAACGTTGAAAATTGGAGGGGTGGAGCACCTGCTCAACTGCAAAAATTACACATCGACTTCCCTCTACACTTAAGTCGCTTCTAGATTGTATCTTTTATATGTATACACACAACACTTTTTTTTCTTGCCAATCCAATATAATTAAAACATTTTATCAAACAAATTAATCTTCCTAAGTATCAAAGCTTGAGGAGCAAAATCGTACATTCTTAGCCGCATTAGAATATTAACATTAATCAGAAAGTTATATACCTTTTTTAAATTTGCAAAAGCGAAATTAAAAACGCTAAAGTAAATAACTGTCAAACTATTAAAAATACTCCTTAAATGTCAAATTATTGAAAATATTCCAAATATTACAAGAATTAAATAAAAAAAAGGTCCAGAAATCATTCTTATACTGCAACAGCAAATTTTCTATCTCGATTTAGTCCCTTATCAGAAGAAGTTTGTCGCAAATACACTTGTTCAAAGTAATGCAACAAGATGTGACTCATGAATCTTTACAGAATGAGATCACTCGTTAATAGCAGATAACCTCGTTATTTAGTTTATAATTACGGTTTTGTTTCATTGTTTATGATCGGAATCATTGTTAAATAATTTTTCTTATGGAAAGAAAACGCAAAAGATTCAACAAGTTAGAAAATCGTATTCAGTATTTAAGTATTAATAAAATTATATTTTTCAACTATGGTACGACAAAAGTCACGAAAAAAGGAAATTAGCCATCTTTTTAAAATAGAAAACTACTCCCTAATATTAATAGTAGTAATATCCAGGTCAAGATATTATCTACTAAATTAATCCAACTAATTACTTTATCCGTCTTTCTTTCCGAGAAAAATCGTTAAGAAAAAACAATTCCTAATTGAATACTCCGCAGAAAATTAATTGCAATTTAAAACTTTATTTAAAAAAAAATTCTAACCTGTATTTCGAGTAGGAGCTCCGTCTTTTTCCTTCGGATATCGATTAAAATCTTCTGCTGTTCTGGCGTCAATTCTGAAACGAAAAGAAAATTCAGGATTAATTTAACGACATTAACTTTAATTAACGAAAGATTAAATATCCATTTTGAAAAATTCAGTAATATTTTAAATAAACTGTAGATAACATAATTATTCAGACTTCGCACTCAATAATTAATTTAAAAAATTTTTTATAATTGTTTGTTTTTTCGGAAAACATTTCTTAAATGATTAAGAAGAAAAAATTAAATGAAAATCGAAGGAAGATTAAAAACAGAATTGGATTTTAAAGATTGAAGAATTAAACACTGTGGAAAGTAATGCATTTTTTTCTATAGAAAAAGAATATCGTGACAGTAAGACTCCCAGTTTCAATGAGTTCGAGCAGAGGGCTTATTAGAGTCAATTTAGTGAAGGCTTCTTAAAATAGACCATTGAAATAATTGCAACTGGGGACACCTGTGACGAATACGACAATAATTAGATTAGACATTCTATATATTTTTTTCGCTTCTAAAAACCAAGAAACTTTTTCCAAAGAAAAACTCTCACACTAAATCCTTTTGTTTCGAAAACAATATTCTTTGAAAATGAAAAATAAAATATCTCTCGTGAACAATAGAATTGAAAATTTCAAGGACTTGTAAATTTTTGTTACGAGCAATTTTCCTTAATTATAAAACTGTTGTTCGCTCATTTATATGACACGAAGCAGAGCACAGAACTGTTATATTCAATGGCAGTGGGAATACCGTAACATTTTTTCTTGTCCTCGGTTGTAAAGGATAAGTTATGTAATTCAAACGGACACATCATATATACCCTCTTCCTTTTTTCAACGAGCTAAGGTTACGTCCTCGAGCGGAACGATATTAGAACTTGTTCCGCACACATAACAATGTCTCGCTAACGGGGTCGTTGCTTGTGGACGATAAATCACCACAACAATATTATAACCCTTTCGGTATAAATTATTTTTCGTGTTGCCACTTTACACTCACCCCTCAATAAAGAGACAATAAAGAGATGAAAAAAAAGAAAAAGGACTAACCTTAAAAATGCAAAATACACCAAGAAATCTTTCATCTTCTCGAATACCAAGACTATAAAACAGGTAGTTTGACACTTTACTCTCCAACTAACAGTTTACTACATATTTGTCGAAGCTTCGAAGATCATCTCAAAATATTTACTCAACTTGCACTTGAACGGTTTTACCGTTACGTGACGAGAAAATTAAATTTTCCAGATTAATTACAATAGCCACGTGATCTAAAATTAATTAACGAAACATTTCCTTTGCTAAGGGAGGATGAGATTCTTTTTTTTGTATATGAAATGAGTGCATCGAGATTCAAGATGTTTACATACAGATACAATTCGAGAGGCTGGTGGTTAATTGAAATGCTTCGAGTTGGATCATTTCGAGATTACTTCTAGTAAAAATAAATTTCTAATTAATCTCATTAGAGAGGAGAAAGTATCGAAAGAAATAAAAGTTTTTGGGTTTGTTTACGATAGGCAGGAAACATTTTGCTTGAATACAATTACGCACGCATGCGTCATGAGAGAAAGCCGCTCCTGACAAAACTGATAAAAAAATGTTTTTTGCCTAATTTTCGTAACATCTTTTACCTGTGGTACCGAACTGATCGACCTGGTGAACGCCAGAATTCACTCCCGATCCACCCAGACCGTCCAGATCTTGCCACATCTCCGGGAAATCACACTTCTTTTTACACAACACACGCATAACACATCTCACTCAAACGGCGCCATTTTCACTTGTGCTGCATAACACCTTCTCTCGAGATCGGCAATATAAACTTTGATTGATACAACTAACTCCACCTATCGAACGTACTTTCAACACTTTAGACTGTTTTAGACTGCTTTAGACATGCAAATGATTTAAAAGCTGTGCTGTGGTGCAAGGAAAGTTTAACAGCATTTTACTTCCGCGTGGTGTTTTTCAATTTCTGTTTAAAAAAAAGACCGCAAGAGAAAATATTTTTTAAAAACCAGTACAATGTTAGTACTTTTTGAAACCCCAGCGGGGTATGCAATTTTTAAGGTGAGAAATTTAGTTTTACTCCAAGTCCTCTAAGTAATCAAAACTTAACCTCAAAATGTTTAAACACGTGATCAAATACAAAAATTAAGTTATTAAATATTATTTATATTTACTATTAAACAATTATATTAGGTCTAAAAAAATTTAACTTTGCAGTTACTGGATGAAAACAAACTATCAAAAGTAGATAATCTTTATCATGATTTTGAAACACCCGAAGCTGCAAGCAGAGTGTAAGTTAAAATTTTTAATATTTTTTACATGAATATTTACAATAGCAGGGTTCTCACAAATATTTTATATTGTTTTTCCCGGATTTCCAGACAAAATTTTGACTTTTTCAATAAGGAATATTCTGATTCACTCTAAAAATGATAATATACTCAAAAAAAAGTTCTATTACATTTATTATTTTCATCATTTCAATTCAATCATTATTTTCTAGAATTATTTAACTGAAAAAGTTATTTGAAAATTTTCAAATTCATTTGTTTATAATTAAATATTACGAAATTTCGATTATTCGGAAATTCTTCAATTAAATATATATTAGAAAATAAAAACTTAAAACAATTTAAAAAAATTCAATTAAACTTCTTCAACAAAAATTATTAATTATTATCTAAAATTTTAACTAAAATACAATTTTAAATCAATTTTTATTACAAAATTCTACAAGAATTCAATTATTTAAATAAAAAAATTAATACTTTATTGAATAATTGAATATTTCTTAAAATTGAATTCTCATAAAGAATTTTATCAACAAACTTTTAATTAATTGAATTCTTTCGACGAATTTTAATAAAATTTTTAAGAATAATTACAGTTTTCGAGGAATTCAATTAATTATTAACTATAAGAATTTGAATGTTCTTTCATTCATTCACTTTTTCTGTTGCTCACACTCAGAAGTTGTCTTTTGTTTATACTTTTGTTGTTTGTTAACTTTTGATTATATTATTATGTTATAATTATTTTTATTTTATAATTAATTTAAAATTGTAATGACAAATAAAAATCATCAGAATTTTTTTCACTTCTTTTTATTAAAAGGCTAAAATTTTGTTAAATATTATGTTTTGTCAAATTGAAATTATGCAGATTTTTGATCTTTACTTCTAAACAAAATTAGAAAATTGTTAAACAACTGTGATTAATAAATAGAAAATTTATTTATTTTGCATTATTTTTGTTTATGAATCACAATTTTTAAAAGAAAATTATTATTTTGTTTTAGAAAAAGAAGAAAAATATTCGCAAAATTTCTATTTTTAATCTTATTTTTGTAACAGGATTTTCCACAGGAATTAAGACATTCAAAAATTTTAAATTCAAACCTTTTTTAAATTAAACAACTTATAAAAGTTTGTTATAAAATATGAAGATATTGATTTCTGATCGATTTCTTCATGTTTTCTAAAAATTAAAGATGACCAAGTAATAAAATCATTATTTTATATTATGAGAATATTGTTACTTTAACTTCGTCAAAATTATTTTCATCATTTTAATTCAATTATTATTTTCTAGAATTTAAAATTATTTTTTATGAAAATAATTGAATTTCTTAAAAACATTTTATTATTTATAAAAATAATTGAATTCGTGTGAAATTTTTATTATTTATCTTATTTATGAAAATAATTGAAATTAGAAAAATTTTTGAAAATAATTGAAATTAGGACAAGAATTTTTTTGACATTTATGAAAATAATGGAACTTTGGAGAAAAATTTTGTTATTTATAAAGATAATTGGGATTTTTACGAGAATTTTTTTCAAATTTTGAACATAGTTGAATTTTATTTTTTTTGAAAATAATTGAATTTCTGCAATTTTTTGTAATTTCTCCAAAATTCAATTTTTAAGTGTTTTCAACAAGAATTTAAATTAGAAATTTTTAAATTCTATTATTTTTAAAATTGCTTATTTTATTTTAAAAAAAGGCAGTAAGAAGTTAGTTGCGCGAATTGTTACTAGTTCAATTGAGGCCTTGGATCCAATAACTCGCCCGACGCTCGAAGGCACGCGCTAATACCAGTCGGGTAGCAGTGAGTGGCCCAGAGGCGCTCACTGCTCACTGACTGGCAGTTACGCGTTCCTCCGAGCGTCGGGCGAGTTATTGGATCCAAGGCCTCAATTAAGATAATTGAAATTCTTCGATAAGATTTATTATTTATGAAAATAATTGAAATTCCTGAAAATAATTTTATTATTTATGAAAATAACTGGAATTCTTATAAAAATTTTATTATTTATGAAAATAATTGAATTTTTGTGAAGAAATTTAAAAAAAAAATTATAAATAATTGAAGTCTTTTGAAATTTTTATTATTTATGAAAACAATTAAATGTTTGTGTTGAATTTCATTAGAATTTTTTTAAAATAATTGATTTCTTTTGGAAAATTTTATTAAAAGAATAAATATTGAAAATCATTGAATTTTGGAAAATTTTTGATAATAATTGAAGTTTTACTAAGAATTTTATTATTTATAAAGATAATTGAAATTTGGATGAGAATTTTTAAAAATTTTTGAACATAATTGAATTCTTTCGGCGAAACTAAACTTGTTGTATAAATCCATTATTTTGAATAATTAATTAAATATTAAATATCGAAGTAATTTTAATTTATAACAAAAATATTAATGTAAATTATAATATTAAAATGTGAAGTAATATTTTTGTCATCTTTTAGTAATTACTATTCGATTCTATAATAAAATTATAATAAAAATAATTGAAATTATAAATTATTTTCATCAAGATTAAATTTTGCTTTTTTGCAGAGTGAAACTAAAGCATTTTGAGAAGTTTGCCGATACAACTGAGGCCCTGGCAGCAACAACGGCAGCAGTTGAGGGAAAACTGAGTAAATCTTTGAAAAAAATCTTAAAGAAATATTGTGCGGAAGTACAGGAACAATTGGCCGTAGCCGACGCGAAACTAGGATCGGCAATTAAAGATAAATTGAGTTTATCATGCGTGAGCAATACAAACGTTCAAGAATTAATGCGATGCATCAGAAGTCAAATGGACAGTCTTCTTGCCGGTTTTCCCAAGAAAGAAATGACAGCAATGGCACTTGGTCTAGCTCACAGTCTATCAAGATACAAATTAAAATTCTCACCCGACAAAATTGATACAATGATCATACAAGCTGTCTGCCTTCTAGACGATCTGGACAAAGAATTGAATAATTATGTGATGCGTTGCCGTGAATGGTACGGATGGCATTTTCCCGAATTGGGAAAACTAATTACCGATAATGTCGCTTTTGTGAAAACAGTCAATGTAATTGGTACCAGAGAAAATGCAGCATCAAGTGATTTATCCGATATTCTGCCCGAGGAGGTGGAGGAAAAAGTGAAAGAGGCTGCCGAAATTTCCATGGGCACGGAAATATCACACGACGATATCATCAATATTCAACATTTATGTGATCAAGTAATTGAAATTTCACAGTACAGAGCACAATTGTATGATTATTTGAAAGCGAGAATGATGGCAATGGCACCGAATTTGACAGTGCTCGTTGGCGATTTAGTTGGAGCGCGATTAATTTCCCACGCAGGATCACTTATCAATCTTGCCAAGCATCCAGCTTCAACTGTTCAGATTCTCGGTGCTGAGAAAGCACTTTTCAGAGCCCTTAAAACAAAGAAAGATACACCAAAATATGGATTAATCTATCACGCTCAATTGGTTGGTTCGAGTTCAACGAAGAATAAGGGGAAAATGTCAAGAATGCTCGCTGCTAAGGCATCACTAGCAATTAGGGTGGATGCACTCGGTGAAGATGTGACTTTTGATTTTGGGGCCGAACACAAGGCAAAACTCGAAGCGAAATTACGAATTCTCGAGGAAGGGAATTTAAGGAAACTCAGCGGCACTGGTAAAGTGAAAGCTAAATTCGAAAAGTATCAAACTAAGAGTGAAATTGTTCAATATCCGACGGCTGCGGATTCAACTTTGGCGACAACTAAGAGACCAATGATTGAGGAAATCAAGACTGAGGAAGAAGTGCCGAAGAAAAAGAAGAAGAAGAACGAAGAAGGTGCCGAAGGTAAATCAACCGAAGAAGTAGAGGAGCCAGAACAAGAATTTGTCACACCTAAGAAGAAAAAGAAGAAGATTAAACAAGAACCCGCAGAAGAGGCTGATAAGTCCGTCAACGTAGAAGAAGCTGAAACTTCCGGTTCGTATATTTCAATTTCTATAATTTGAAAAATTTTAATTTTTTATTTTACCACACTTCGCACTCAATAATTCATTTTAAAAAAGTAGCAAAAAGTGATAAATTATCTAAAATTTTAACTGAAATTAATTTTTAAATCAATTCTTATTAGAAAGTTCAACAAGAATTCAATTATTTAAATACAAAAATGAATAATTAATAGAATAATAATTAATTATTTCTTGAAATATAATACTTATAAAGGATTTTATGAAAATTTTCGAAAATAACTAATTTCTTTCAAAGAATTTTAATAAAAATTTTGAAAATAATTATATTTTTCGAGAAATTCATTTAAAATTTTATTAAAAATAACAAAAATCCTCTAAAGGATTTTATTATTTATGAAAATAATTGAATTCTTGCAACGAATTTTATTAATTTTTTTTATAATAATTGAATTCTATGAAAAATGTTGTTATGTATTTGTAAAAATAATTGAATTTTTTTGAAGAATGTTATGAAAGTTTGAAAGCATAATTCAATTATTTCGAATAATTTAATTAAAATTGTACTAAAAATAATTGAATTCTTGCGATGAATTTTCTTGAAAATTGTATTTAAAAGAATTAAATTTCTGTGAAATTTTTTTTATTCTATTTGAATTAATTTTTATATTTCAACTATAGTGCAGATTTTCAGTAAGTAAAAAAAGTAGCTCTTAGTGTTACAAATTTAAAAAATTATTCCAAATTTGTAAATAAGAAATATATTTTACAGAACCGAAGAAGAAGAAGAAAAAGAAAAAGGACAAAGATTTGAGCGAAACTATGGAAATGGAAGAAGCGACACGAAAAGAAGAAGAAGAAGGAGCTGCAGAGTCTCTTGGTAGTGAAAAGAAGAAGAAGAAAAAGAAGCTAAAAGAAGAGAAAGTAGAAGAGGAAGAATCAGCCATCCCTGATGAATATCAAGCTTCAAGTTCATCAGAAAAGAAAAAGAAGAAGAAAAAGAAGCACAAGTCAACCGAAGATCAGGACACGTAAACTTTTTTTTAATATAGAGAATATTAAAAGTATTTTTTTCCAACTGATCATAAATAAAAAGAAAACTCACATTTTGTTAAAAATATCACAAAATGTATTCGTAATTTGTACGAATAAGTGTTAAAAACAGTTACTTTTTTCTAATTCCGTATCTTACCGAGAATTTCCCACAATATTTGTATACATCTCCTTTTTTAAGATTATTTTCTCTATTTAGTGTTTTTATTATTACAATTAATTACTCCAATAAGTACAAATAATTATTTTCTTGAATTTACTCTCATGAACATGAAATTAACAAATTAAAAAAGAAAAAACTTTAAAATGTCATAGAATTAGTTCTCAACTAGAAAGTACCTCAATTTTTTGATTTGTAATAATTATTACTTTTATGCATTTTTACTGTAAATACTATACGTTTTTTTTATTTCACTGTAAATATAAAATACATTTAATTTGTATTATGTAGAAAATTGTTTTTCTTTGCTCAAGAACATTTGATTGAAAAGCTAAAAGATGGAGGATGAGTCATTGAAATAATTGAGAAAAAGTCCCTATGTATTTATGAGATCAGTTCGCTATTTCCGATTTAAGTCCGAAAAAGTTTGATCCAATTTAAACAATCTTTTCATAGATTTTTAGATACTCAAAAAAATGTTCTATTACATTTATTTCCGAATTTCTTTAATTGTAAGATTATTCGAAAACATCAATAATTTCATTTTTAAATAAACATTTAATTATTATTATTTTTCCATAGGAATTAGGATTTTCACAAATTTCAAATTCAACAACTTATAAGAATATTTATATATTATAAAACATGAAGACATCGATTTCTTCATGTCTTATAATAATTAAAGTGTACGTATGAAGTTAAATAAATAAATAAATGTATAAAGTTTATATTTATAATTAAAGTTATAAAATTATTATTTTCTACAATTTTTAACTAAAATTCTTCTTTTTTGAAAAAGATCTTTAAGAATTTTCAAATCCATTTGTTTACAATTCAATTTTAAAAAATCTCGATTATTCGGAAATACTTCAATTAAATTAAAAATAAAAAACTTTAAATAATTTTTTAAAAAATTCAATTAAACTTTTTCAAAAAAAGTTAATTCTATAGAATTGTTAGTTAAAAGTATGAAAAATTCATGATAATTATAATGATTTTATTATTTATTTATTTAACAAGTATACGGGAAAAGCAATAATTATTCAATTATTATGTAAAACTTTAAGTAAAATTTATTTTTAAATCAATTTTTATTAAAAAATTTTACGAGAATTCAATTATTTTAATATACAAAAATAAATATTATTGAATAATTAAATTCTTTCAACGAATTTTAACAACATTTTTAAGAATAATTACAGTTTTCGAGGAATTCAATTAAATAAATAATGGAAATTCTGCCATGAGTTTTATTATTTATGAAAATAATGAAATGTTTGCATAGAAGTTTATTAAAATTTTTTTTTTAATAATTAAATTCTTTTGGAAAATTTTATTAAAATAGTAGAATTGAAAATCATTGAATTGAGGAAATTTTTTGAAAATAATTGAAATTTTGACTAGAATTTTATTAAATAAAAAATCCATTATTTTTAATAATTAATTAAATATATATGTTACCGGCAAAGTATGAAATCCAGGCATTTTATAAAATGCCTAGGCAGTATATAAAAAGCCTATGTCCATTTCAGGCAATACATAATAATAATTTGCTATTCCGTGAACAGAAAATTGTCGTCTTTTGTTTTTCTATAGTAATTAATATTTTGATAGAAATTTTGGTTATGAGTATTCCCATATGTGTGATAACCACTTGATGCAAAGAAATTTTTTTACAAATAAAAGAAAAATGATCAAGACATATGCCTCTATTCAACTGATGTTAAAAATGGTAAATACATGTAATTTTTTCAAGAATTCTCTATTATTTTGTTAATTTTTATAAATTTAATGAAATTCTCAAACTTGGTATTGATAAAAAGTTTAAATTCTAACATCGAACAATTTTTTTTACAATATTATTCAATTAGTGAACTGAATTTTATTTGCCACTTTTGTTTGACAAAAATAAATTGATTAAAGACACTTAAATTTTGAAGTTTAAATATTTAGTATGTTTTTAGATTAAAATAGTGTTTTTCAATTAAATCTTTAGAATTTTTATTTCTTTTGGTAAATTCAGTCTCCTATAAAATGATAATTCAATAAACTTCAAAAAAAATTCCGCATTTTTTTACATTTTTTGATACTCTTGGCATTCCAGTTACGGAGAATCGGGTACTTTATTTATTTCAGAAAAAATAATACTTATAAATTCTATTAAACATTTCTTTTCTTCAATTATCAACATTTCAATGTATTCAATATATTTTTCGGATGAATACTAACAATTATTAGGGTAGGCGAACACTATTTTTAAAAAAAGTATTTTCTACACCTTTTTGTCTAAAAAGGCGATTTCTAATTAAATCTGTTTTCTGAAAAAAGTTTTTATAAAAAGTTATAATTTCTAATGTTTATTTTCCTAAAATTTCTAAAATTCCATAATTTTTATAAAAATTAGAAAATTGTTTAAAAATAAAGATTAAATTTTCTGTTTCTCAATTACAATTCTGTTTACAAAATTATAAGTTTCTTTTTTTGAAAATGAAGAAAAATTTTGATAAAATTACTATATTTCTTATCACAATTTGTTAACAAAATTCTATTCTTCTTTGAAAAAAAATAATTTGCATCATTTTTACATTTAAATTTCCAAAGTTAATATATTTATAAAAAATTCTTTTAGAAAATTTTAAATATCTTTAAGGAAAAGATCCCTATAATTTGTTAATTACGATTTTTAACTAGATTATTTAAAAATTTTGTTAAGTAATTTGCACAATTTCTATTTTTTATTATAATTTTTTAACGAATAATATCAAGTATTTTTTTAAAGAATTAACAAATTTTCGTAAATTTTATTTTTTAATCATATGTACTTATTATCGTGATTACAAAAATAAAATATTGCTAGAAAAAAGAAAAATTTTGAAAATTACCTTTATTAGAAAAATAAATTTTTAGAAAATTAGCTTTATTAGAAGACAGAAAATTTCAAAATCACCTTTATTATTAGAAAAAAGTTTTTTAGAAATTCACCTTTATTAGAAAAAAAAATTTTAGAAAATACGATTTAGAAAAACTAACTAACTAACTACCCCAACCATTATTAGAAACATAAGAATGAAAATTAAAATATTTGCAGAAATTGTAATTTAAATCTTTTGAGTTTGAATTTTATTACATTTATATGAGCTTAAAAAATGTTTGAGGGATTTCATAAGAAAATTACATGTATAAAAATTACATTTGAAACTTGAGTTGAGTAGAGGCATGTTTTTTCACTTGGTAATTATATTTATTTTAATAACAGAAGCCATTAAAAAATCGCAAAAGGATCCAAGGCAAGAAAAGTAGCAATTTTGATTTTTCGAGGATTTTCTAAAAATCTCGGTATTTAAACTAAATTATAATTTCCACCCCTTGGAAGCAATTTTTTTCGTTTGCTAATTATTTATTTTAATGTTAGAAGTCATTAAAAAATTTTGCAAGAAGATCGAAGGCGGGGAAAGCAGTGATTTTGATTTATTTTATATTTTAGGATTTCTGAAAAATCCGTGACAAAAAATAAAAATCACTGCTTTCCCCGCCTTCGATCTTCTTGCAAATTTTTTAAATGGCTTCTGAGGCGTGGAAATGATAATATAGTTGAAATACCGAGATTTTTTTAAAAATCATAACTATTGTAAACATGCAAGAATATAAATTGAAATTATTAAATTTTTTCTGTGGAAAGCAGGTAGGCAGATTGCTACCGTGATAATTCTTTAAATCATTCACGCGCGCATCGCGCGCGTAGGACTTTGCTAGTGTATATATGTCGTAGCCGAATAGAAGAATCCGCCGTTTAGCGTTTATTTGTTCACGTATTTCAATAAGTTGAAGTTATGATTTCGTCTATTGGCCTAAAACGTCTTAGTCGGTTAGCTAACTGCCTAGCCAGTTGGCTAACTGGCGGATTTACTCAGGCCAATAGAGGAATATAAGCAATTATCACGTTCATTTGTCTATTCGGCGCCGGTTAGCTAACCGCCTAGGCGTTTAGCTAAACGGCGGATTCTTCTATTCGGCTACGACATATATAATTAAATCATTTTTTCATATATTGCCTAGGAATTTTATAAAATATGCCCATCGAGCATAAGGTAAAGTATATAATAGTCTCAGCAGCTTGAAACGTTTACCTTTTTCTATAAACACTTTCCATGATTTTTCTATTACAAATAGAAAATAATAAGTATATAACAATAAGTATTTTAGCTATGTTTACATAGCTGCATGTTAGCAGTGAGTAGTTTTATACAATGAAGTTCAATATTTCTAACTCTTAAGGCGCTCTCACAGCTAGTAGGCAGCATACAAATTTGAATTTACTGTCTCTTTCACTCTAATTGATTTTCTCTCTTACTCCAATTACTGCCTGCGCAGGCAGGCAGAGCTGTGAGAGCTCCATTAAGAATAATACTTAATTAACAGAAAATACAAATTTTGTCAGTCAATTCTCACATTTTGAGGTAATCAGTCGCAGAAACATAAATTTTAACTTAAAATGAGTACGGAAATAGTAAATGTTTCGGTGACAAGGGATAGATTTTATTCCGAATTTTCTAAAATTAAAAATGCAATGGCAAAAAACAGTATATTTTTATCAGACGAACGGTATAAGCAGTTGATAAGTGATGTTAATAATGTTAAAGCTACCGGGAAAAAGGAACAGGCCAAGGTTTTGTGAAATGTTCTTGTAAAAAAATGTCAAAGCAACAAATATTTATGCATAAAAAATAAGGTCCAGTGTCAGTCGAAATGTCATTCAAGTATGCCGTGTTGTAACAAATAAATTACAAAAGAAAGTTAATATTTTTATAACAGAAAAATGTATATTATTTGAAATAAAACTAAATTTTATACTTTGTCTAAAGTCCAGTGGGCATTTTATACAATGCCTAGGCAATGTATAGAAAATCATATTATTATACACATTGAATGAAATGGACAGGCATTTTATATACTGCCTATTTTATAAAATTTGAATTGATAAAATTTTTGAAAAATCTAAGTTCTTTAAAATTTCTAATTAAATTGATTGAAAATTTAAATTAAAACCTTTTGAAGTTTATCTTTTTATGGAAATTTTAACGCAAAGTTCTTTTAAAATTCAATTAATTTTGAAATATTTAAGTGCTATTCATTAAATAGTTTCTAGGTAATAATTTTATGATAGTTCTTCGTGGTAATTTCATTCATAGTTTATGAGGCAAACAAAAAGGACACCAAAATTCAGAATTTTCATACTTTTCACTGTAAAAAGAAAGGTACGAATTTAGTACCAATTTTGGTACTAAATAGTAATTTGTTTTAATTTTAATAGCGAAATCAGCTCTAATTTAGAACCTTTTTTTACAATGTTCATATGAATTATAAAAATTTAATTTTTTCCAGTACCTTTAATATAAATCCCTAACTTTTCCCTGATCTGTGGCAACCTTAATCGAAATTTTCCAAGAATTCAAGGACACGAAATTATTCAACATTCGTTAAATATTAAGTATTTCATTATTTATATTTTTTTTATCTTTTTCATTTTTTCAAAGAGAAAGAAAGTCGTTGTAATAAGAAGCAGGTACGCCAACCTGTGCTAGAAAAATGACTAAAATTCAGAGGTAAATTTCCTAAATTCCTAATGACCAGCTATTATTATTTTTATAGAAGTCTTATTTTGTATTACCATATTCTTTATTGATTCATTTACTACTGATGTTTTACAATTATTTAGAAGTAATATCATAATGAATTGTTGAAAAAACGATATTTAAGAAGTTAAAAACTAATGATTTTTATGAAAATAGCATTGCTCATGACGCTTCAGACTACGCAGGCGCAAGGAAAATTTCTTCTATTCTATATTCTTTTTTATTTTCTTCGTAGTTTTTCTGTTATAAACAATAAATTTGAACTAATTTCGTTGTTTTAATATAATTATTCGATCCTTTTTTCGTCTTTTATTCAGAATTTATTAACAATTTTGCAGTAAATCCAGTAAATTTAAAAGCGCGTGCTGCGCGAAACAATTGCGCTGTAGCGCAGTAACACAGTTCATCTTTGCTGTTGCTGTTCATTGCTGCTACTAAACAAAAATGACACTTTGTCAGTATTTAAGATAAATAACAGTTTGTCTTTATCGAGTGTAAAATTCACCATCCCCTAGTTATTTATTTAATGACTGTTTATAATCTAGATAATTGTAGTTGATTTGAAAATGTTTATAATGTCGGCAAATTCAGAGGGACATTTCTCGACTCTCGTGTCAAATAACACATTCTTACGTAACGAATTATTTTCGCAATGAGACTGATAATCGTTGATAGAAAACCAAGTCAAGTAAACGAGGTAAACGTAGAGAAGTGTAATTCTGTAAAGTTATTAATGGCTCTGGGTGTAAGCCAGCCAGGAATATACTGTGTTCTCGAGCAGTGACCCTTTTTTTCTTGTTGGGCCACCCCCCAATGGTAAATATGATTTCAATTATTATCACTCCCTTCTCAAGAAGCTCTTAATTTATGTGAGGATATTAAAGTATGACAGCAGCACTTGTCATGGACACTGTCAACTGGGATCCTTGTAAGTGTATTTTCTATTGTTTCATTTGTCATTTCTAAGTTGTCTTCGTTTTTTAGTAAACGAAACTAGAATGTTAATTCTAATTTTTTTTCTTTATTTTTCTTAGGAATTCTTTGTCCACAATGAGAATTGTGGAAATTTGTTTTCTTTGGAAAATAAATTTATTGATCTGTCTATACCCTTCTTGATATAAGTCTCAATAATTAGCTTTATAAATTTTTGAGTATAGATCGTATAAATCTCAATTAGTCGATGAAAAAATAAAAATAGAATTCTTTCAGCTTTGTCAAAGTTATTGAACTCTCTGGTGGAAAGTAAAGCGGATATTCCAAGTTGTACAGATGAGGAATTTGGATTCTTGAGTGAACTTTTGCAGTCTAAAGAACTGAATGCTTTGGTCAAGGTTCATAATAAAGTTTTGCACAATATTAAGGATGATAAGTTTTATCCAATGCTTTCAAATGCGATGGATATCGACGTCGATGTCCTCGAGGTACTTGCGACGAAGACGCACGTATCCCAAGACTGCAGAGAACTTTTTCAACTTTTACAAAGACCACATATTCAGGTAATGGGAATTTCCTACTTGAGTTAACTAAAATTAATCGAATTTAAAAGTAATTTATCCGAGTTGAATGAATTTACAAAGGATATTTTTTGTCTTGGGGACAAATTATTTTTCAGGGTTTATTGTGTGCTCACGATGCAGTTGCTCAAAAGGATTATTATCCCAGGTTACCGGATATTCCATTAGAAGTCGACGAGGACGAAGAAACAGTAAAAATTGTGCAACTAGTTAAATCGAATGAACCCCTGGTACGTGATTACGAACATTTATTTTTTTCAGTGTTTTTTATACATGCTATTTTCTACGAAAGGCGAGCTTATCAGTTATAATTAACGAAACAATATTAGACTGTGTGAAGTGGTACTTTTTGTGATACATAGTTAATTTTTTATATAATTTCTTTCCTTTTATTCGCCTCTATTTGAATTGCATGCAATATCAAATTTATCTTTTAGCTCCATTTAATAATTGTAGGCACGTCTAGTGTAATTCCATCACCAGAAAGTTCTTCCATCCGTAAATTCACTTTTAAGTCGTTTATTTTATTTTATTTTATTTTAAAATTTTTTACTAAAAATTTTAGTACTCTTTTTTTCTTTTCTTTGTTTATTTATTCACTTTTTACAAATTTTAAATATTGTACATTTACAGGGCTCGAACTAGGTCCGTAAAGTCCGTAATTTAATTGAAAAAATGACAGAAAGTTCGTAAATTCTAGGATATAATTTGGAGAATTTTAGAAAAATTACAAATGATTGCAGAAATTCAATAAGGCTATTCAAGTTCGGTGGGAGAAAATTCAAGATGGATGCTAACTGGTGCACCAACATTGTATAGAAAGTGTATGGGATAGAGTCTAATTTTTTAAATATCTCGCTTAAACGAAATTTTTAACCATAAGTTTATTAGGATTTTATGTTTTATTTTTAAAGAACTATTTTTTGCAATAATAAAATCAATAAAAAAAATAAAATCGATTTTTATTATTGCAAAAAATAGTTCTTTAAAAATAAAACATAAAATCCTAATAAACTTATGGTTAAAAATTTCGTTTAAGCGAGATATTTAAAAAATTAGACTCTATCCCATACACTTTCTATACAATGTTTGTGCACCAGTTAGCATCCATCTTGAATTTTCCCTCACCCAACTTGAATAGCCTTATTATGTTCAAACATTTTTTTAAATTCTCTTCAAAATTTCAATTATCTTTAGAAATAATAAAATTCTTCAAAAATTTTCCTCAATTCAACGAGTTTCAATATCTATCTACTATTTTGATAAAATTTTTCAAAAGAATTCAATTATAATTACAAATTAATTTTTTATAAATTTCATCGCAATAATTCAATTATTTTCATAAATAATAAAATTTTTACAACAAAATTTGTATGAATTAAATTATTTTCATAAATAATAAAACTCATCGCAGAATTTCAATTATTTTTAATACAATTTTAATCAAATTTCTCGAAAAATGTAATATTCTTAAAATTTTTTATTAAAATACGTCCAAAGAATTTGATTATTTGAAAATTTGTTGATAAAATGAGAATTGAATTTTAAGAAACATTCAAGGAATTATTTATTTTTGTATTTAAATAATTAAATTCTAGTAGAATTTTCTAATAAAAATTGATTTAAAAATTAATTTCAATTAAAATTTTAGATAATAATGGAATACTAAATGCAATATAGTGTGAATATTTAGAAATAATTGAATTTTGAAATTCATTTTTTTATATTTGAAGTTTTTATTTTATAATATATATTTAATTGAAGAATTTACGAATAATTGAAATTTCGTGAAAAAAATTTGAAAATTCTTAAAGAACTTTTTAAAAAATTATTAAAAATAATTGATTTTTAGAGAAGAATTTTAGTTAAAAATTGTAAAAAATAATAATTAAATTGAAATGTTGAAAATTATTTTGAAGAAGTTACAGTAACAATATTCTTATAATATACAATAATGATTTTATCACTGGGCCATCTTTAATTATTGCAAAACATAAAGAAGTCTATTTTCAAGTTTTACAGTTATGAAAAAATGTAATTTATAGTTTTAAGTAAAATGTTCTCTTATTTGACTCGGACTGATTATATTTTTGTCAGTAATTGGTTCGTAAAGTCCGTATATTTAACCCTCAGGGTACTGACTGGGTTAGCGTAACCCAGGCGAATTTTGAAAGTTGCGCCATTTCTAAACAAATCGATGGAGGCGGCTCAGACCGGAGGGGGAAAAAACTTTGAGATTAGAACCGAAAGTAGCTGATTTGGCAGAGCCGGTCGGCATTTGCTGTTCAAGCTGCGAATTATTGAAATTTGTATTCGGGTGAATTACACCCAGTCAGTACACTATGTTATAAAATCCATGTTTTTGTCAATTGTAAAATCTCATTAAATTAATCGAAAATTATTCATAAATTACATTTAAAAGTTCATAAAGTGTAAAGCGGAAGGATTTTGTAAATTTGGTGAAATTGGGTTTGTAAATTTTCGCGATATTTTTAATGAATTTATCGTTTGACTTTTTTTTACATGTCAAAAATAGAGCATTTTCAAATCTAAAAAAAAATATACTTTTTAAGATTAATTAAAAAACGGCTAACGCTATCTTAAAGATCAACTTTTCACCTTTCCAAAACACCTATATAAAATGATTTTATCTTTTTTTTTCATAAATATACGAGCTTTTGAAAAAAATATTTTTTTTCATGAAAATTTTTTGAAAACCATTTGTATTTTTGACAATAACTTTTATAAATAAAAAAATATCACTAATCCGACAAATCCGGCATATTCCTGGGGAAGTTTTAAACAGATTACAAAAAAAAGAGTTTAAATTCATCAATTACAGCCCAAGATACAGGCGATCAAAGTTGCTGGGTTACTCTAACCCATGTCAGTACGGATCGTTACATTTTTATAGTCAGTACCCTGAGGGTTAAATTCTTTCACTGGTTCGAGCCCTGCGATTTATAATCTAATTATTGATCAAAAAAGTAAAGTGAAATTAAAAAATTGTGTCACGGTAATTTTGTTCCAAATTAAGAATATAAACATAAATGTCTTTTACTTTTGGTATGAAAGAAAAATAGTTTTTTTTGCTCCAGAGTAGGCATTGAATTAATATAAATTGCTTTTATAATACGTTCCAAGTAATCACGTATTTTTTTATCGATCTATTTGCTTCGAAGAGTGGTGATGGCGTTGAACCGATTCTGGTAAGTTTTCTACAAAAGAACTTAGGTTGTACAAAGATTAATTGCACTAGAATCTTCCTCATTTAGACGAGCGATTCAACGCACTTTTTGTGTATTTATATTTAAAAAGAAAATTGTAAATTACCTGCAATGCGTTTATTTTAGTGCAAATTATTTGCTAAATAAGTTGTAAATATTGTGTTGTTTTGTACATTTTTTTCGTTATTTATTCACTGTACCTGCAACGTAGTACAGCTATAGTAGTATAGTAGTTAAATTTTATACTTACGATTAATTATGTATATTTCGTTTTATCAATTTGTTATTGTATTTTATTTCCATTCTTTTGTTACAGAATTTATTTCATATGATTCGTTACTTTATTGAAACGATGGTCAAATTGAATTTGACAGTTGTTTATTTTTTTTGTTACTTTAGCATAAAATAAGGTAACGAACGAGTTATTTAGTATTTATCTTTTTGTTATTTTGTATATTTATTTGTCATTGCACTCAAAGGGCAGTTTCTTTAAATATTGTAATAAATTTTTATAAACCGAAAGTTATCCAAAATTTAAGAAGAAAGAATTTTAAATAATTACATTTTATATCACATTATATAACTTAAGGTTTATGAAAGTCGAACATAAAAGCAGAAAAATCAGGCAGTTATCCGTTCCAGACCCTCAATTGCAATCAATTTTTTTAAGAATTGAAGAGGCGTTTTTAAAATTCAAGACGCGTAAAATTTTGAATTTAAATACAAAATTGAGAATATTTTTATTTTAAAAAATAGTATTATTTTGCTTTTATTTGGAAATTGTCTCTTTAGAGTGTACGTCTGCATGATCTCTTATGTTTTGTTCTTAATTATTTGTAAATAAAATTCTTTTACAGATTACTTCTGTTTTTATTTTTTCCGCATGTCCATGGGTCATCAAAAATTGGACAAAACTGTTGAACTTTTCTCTTAATACGTGAATTTCGTTGACACGAAAAAATGTCAATGTTTATAATTTATTTTTTACAATTGAATTTTTATTTAGATTATATCTTTGTGAATTTCATTTCGTTGAATTTAGAATTTTTTTTATTGAATTATAATTATAAATGCAGCATGTAAATATTTTTCAAAGAAAGGAAAGACTTGGAAAAGGAATAGGAATATAATTTTGATGTTTTAATACACTTTTGAAGTTTTAGATGAAAATTTCTTTGTTTAATCGCATAGAGTGCGCTGTTATAATTAAATATTTGAATGCACGTTGACAATACAGGGTGCAACAATAAAGACTGACGAGGACACTGGAAAAATTGTGATAGCACGAATAATGCACGGTGGTGCAGCAGATAGATCCGGTTTAATTCACGTTGGTGACGAGGTGTGCGAAGTCAATGGAATCAGCGTTGAAGGAAAAACACCGAATTGTGTTCTAAAAATATTGGTAACTGTCGGAAAATTAATAAGAGTTTAGAAAAATTGCAATTTCTATTTTTAATTCTTGTTTTTTTGTTGCAGCAAAATTCAGAAGGTACAATTACTTTCAAAATTGTACCAGCGGATAGCAAAGGCGGAATGAGGGAAAGCAAGGTATTTTTAATTATAAATTTGTATAAAGCAATTGATTAAATTTAATTATTTAATGTATGAGAATTCTGTTTATTATTTAGCTATTTATTTTGAAACTTTTTTTTCAGGTTCGTGTTCGGGCGCATTTTTCCTACAAAGCAGCCGAGGATCCACATACACCCTGTAAAGAAGCCGGTCTTGATTTCTCCAAAGGAGATGTCCTTCATATAGTCAGCCAAGATGATATCTATTGGTTAGTATCAAAACTATTTCCCTACTTATTTGATATTATTTTATAATAATCCAAATTAATCGACAGGTGGCAAGCTAGAAGAGAAGGAGATCGAAACATGCGTGCAGGATTAATTCCAAGTCGAGCGCTCCAGGAACGTAGGATCATCGTCGAACGACAACAAAAAGAAAAAACCGACGAGGACACAATAAGTAAGAAAACATCCAAAATGTTTATTCGTGTTTATCAATTTTTTCCTTTTCAACGTTAATTCTCCCTTAATATATAAAATTAGTTTTCCTACTCTTCCTTATTTTTCTGGGGAATTTTTATATTTAACTAATTTATATAATTTTGTTTTTAATAATACTAGATGTTTATAATTAACAAGCTTGCTAGATGTTTAGAATAATGCTTCAATAGCTAATGTTTTTGAGTAAATCATTGGCCTTCATGAATGGCGAAGAAATAAGGCGCTCGTAAAAATGCTTTTTAAAAAAACAACGGATTCCTGAGACTGGGGTTCGATTGATGCGCAAAAAAAAGAACAAAATCGTGAGGTTGATTTGATGTTTTTTTTGTCGGCTAACGGTGACGTATAACCTAACCGTCGGTTAGGCTTGTGTTCTGTTCCAGTGCCTTTGCCTGCCTTGTGCCCCCGTCCCAGTAACTCTTTGCACGACTCGCCTACAAAGTGCAATTTACAAGGAATTAAAACTAAAAAAATCATGTATGACGCTGCAGAGAATGACGACTTTGATCGCGAAGAGATTCCAACTTACGAGGAGGTGGCGAAACTCTATCCAAGGCCCGGTCTCTATCGACCTGTGGTTCTCATTGGACCGCCTGGAGTTGGACGCAACGAGCTCAAGAGAAGAATCATGGCCAGTGATCCTGACAAGTACAAAACCCCCGTGCCCTGTGAGTTCTATGAATATTTATTTATTTTACTGTATATTGCACTAAATATTCATTTCTCTAATTGTATGTTCAACTAAATATTAATTACCCTAATTATATATTCAACTGAATATTAATTTACCTAATTGTATATATGGAACTAAATGTAATTTACCTAATTGAATATATAATATAAATATAATTATAATTTTGGATAAAAAAAAAAATGAATGTGGAAAATATTCAGATACTTCGAGACCGCCGAGACTAGGAGAAGTGAACGGAAAGGAGTATCACTTCACTTCGAGGGAGAGAATGGAGGAGGACATTCAGGCTGGAAAATTCATCGAGTACGGAGAGTACAAGGGCAATTTATATGGAACTAATACGGAGAGTGTGAGTTCATTGGTCGATGCTGGATATGTTTGTCTATTGAATCCCCATTATCAGGCGCTGAAAATGTTGAGATCGCAAAAATTGAAGCCATATGTGATTTATATCAAGCCACCGAGATTCGAAATTCTCAAGGAGACGAGAAACGAGGCCCGTGCAAGATCCACTTTCGATGAAAATAATTCCCGAGGATTCACGGTAATTTAACAAAATTTTATTTAAACCAAAATTTTCTATAATCTCTCAAAATTGGCATAATTTTCATATTGTTTTATTCAAATGCAGGTTTGCCACAGATCAGGCATTTTTTATTAAAGTACATACTGGAAAAAATTGAATTTTGGAGAAGTTACCGTAAGTGAGGCTAAATTCGCTCAATTTTTCAATTCTTTTTTAAATAACTTCGGGAAACGATGAAAATAAACATTGGCACTGAAAATATATAATCTTTAGCCCTTTATCTTTCCTATTACTGCATAAAGAAATTAAAATATGTTGCAGAAAATTATTTATAAGCCGTTTTTTTGTGAGCGACTTTACCTTTAAATTATAATCTGCTAAAATGAAACTAAATATTCTTTATAATCAATAAAGAAAAAAATTAAGAACAATATCCAAAGTTATTGGAATAAATATTTAATATTGCTTTATCAATAAGTAATTAGATTTAATCATTCAATCAAACGTACTCATAACCATAAAAAATAAGGTTAAGTTTGACAGTTTAGTGCTTAAACCGTTTTAAATCGTCTAATTTTCAGTTATAAGAGTTCTATTATTTAAAAAAATCGAATTATAAATTAAAGTAATTAACATACTTTAAATATCCAGGCCCAAACATCTTTTTTGTAAAATTATTTCCTGAGCGAATTTACACAACAAATTTGAATTTTTTTTTAAATTGATTTTTTGCAGAATCTGTTTATTGCTTTAATTTTTGTGCTTTATGAAAATCATGTTAGAGATACAGGAAATGTAATGTTCAGAAGTATTCAACTTAAAAATTTTGAAGTAAAGATTTGTTCCCTACTTTTTCATACTACTTGTTCAATATGAAAATTATTCACTTGCGTTTTATATATAATTTCTACTGAAAGTTACCAATGAATTTGCTGCAAATAAATTTTAAATTAAAGTTTAGCATTTATATTAACCAAAACAATTGTAAATCTTAAATATTTCTATCTAAAAAGTATGTTAATCGAATTTTAAAAAATAGACATCGGTTGAGCGAATTTAGCCTCACTTACGGTACAAATCATTTCAGAAATTCAATTATTTTCAAAAGTAATAAAATTCTTCACAAAAATTCAATTATGTTCAAAATATAAAAAAAAATTCTTGTCAAAATTTCAATTATCTTTAAAAATAATAAAATTCTTCTCCAAAATTTAATTATTTCCAAGAATTTTAATAAAATTTTTGGCACAATTTCAATTATTTTCAAAAAATTTCCTCAATTCAATGATTTTCAATATCTACTATTTTAATAAAATTTTTCAAAAGAATTCAATTATTTAAAAAAATGTTGATAAAATTTAAAGCAAATATTAAATTATTTTCATAAATAATAAAATTTTACAGGAAATCAACTATTTAAAATTTTTTTATAATTTTCTTCACAATAATATTCAATTATTTTCATAAATAATAAAATTTTTCACAGAGATTCAATTATTTTCATGAATAATAAAACCCACCATAGAATTTCAATTATTTTAAATACAATTTTAATCGAATTCCTCGAAAAATGTATTTATTCTTGAAAATTTTATTAAATTTGGCGAATATTATAGCACGAATTTTATTATTTATGAAAATAATTGAATTCTTACAACGAATTTTATTACATTATTTTTAAATAATAGAATTCTTTCGAGAACTTTTATTAAAATAGCAGATTATGAAAACTTGAATTTCAGCGAAGAATTTAATTATTTGTGAAATGTAATTAAATTCTTGCAAAACATTTTTGAAAATAATTACATCTTTCGAGGAATTTATTTAAAATTGTATTAAAAATAATGGAAATTTTATGAAAAATTTTATGGAAATTTAATCGATATCTTCATGTTTTATAATAATATTCTTATAAGTTTTTGAATTTCATAAAGGTTTGAATTTGGATTTTTTTGAAAATCTTAATTCTTATGGAATAATAATAATGATTAAATATTTATTAAAAGAAGAATTTATTGATGTTCTTTTTGAACCAAAATAGTTTTTTTTTACTCTAAATATGGTTAAGAAGAATCCCTGAAAATATTAAGCCAAAAAAAATTTTTTGTAAAAGTTATTAATAATTGAATTTTTTAGTACTGCTAAATTAACAAATTTTTTTCTCGAGTTCTACACGGAGAGAAAAAACAAGGCTTTTCCCCATGAAAAAATATGCATTTAACGCGTGAAAATTATCACAGTAAAAATGCAGGACGCTCACGGGTTTTCCCGGTGAGATTCTTGCAACGAGCTAAGGCCAATAGGGACTAAGGCATGGCCTAACCGCTAAACGCAAGAAATTCATCGGGAAATCCGGTGAAACTCCTACCTGAAAAAGGCATGAATTGAAGTCACAGGGAAAAGCCTTGTTTTTTCTCTCCGTGTAGTTGACGGATTTTAAAATTAAAATATGGGTTTTTTTCGTCTTGAATTGCACTATTTGAATATATTTTTTGTTTTTAAATTTTTTTATTTTTTATAATTTTTTATATAATTTGTTTATAAAATGTTAATAAACAAATATGTTCTTCACGTCCTAACAAAAAAATTAAATATGTATTCTATTCCTTAAATGTCTCCGAGTGTAAAACCGTTTCGAAAAAAAATGAGCCTCAATTGGAAAAAAAGTTATTAATTAAAAACTGCAGCCATGTAGGGCTTTATATGACGTTAAACTCGCCTCGCGCGCATTGGCATTTTTTTCAAAATTGTCTGTAACCTACAAATTTTATCGGATTTTCATGGGCTTGGTCTTAAATTAAAGGGGATAAAATTTTTAAGAGATCCCACTAAACCAATTTTTGAATTTTAAATTGTTTATATTTTTGTTTGTTACTCAAAGTTAACAATTTACAATATTTTTAGAAAAAATCATGTTTATTTTTTTATTGCAGATGATTGGAATCAATTGAAATTAGTCCAGCATGACCACCAGACAAATAAAAATGTATAATACAATTTATTTAAATTGTTGCAAACAATGTTAATTAACAAATAGATAACTTTGGTTCTTTTTTATAAACACAATTTTTTTTCAGTTATATTTATATTTATTTAAGTAATCTATGTCGATTTTGATAAAAAATTATTCTAAATTTAATAATTACTATTGTTATTAACAATCATAAGGGCAATAATCTAGTTATCAATAATCAAGTAGAGCTTAACATGACTTTAAACTCGTTAAAATACGAAAAATAATTTTTCTTTTTGCAGAAATAAGCCATTTATTTGTTTAAAAAGTAAATAATTTGTTTACAACAAATGTAATTGTTTATGCTAAGAAATTTTTAAAGTTTTTGAAAGAATGTATATATTATATAGACATTTTTTGTTTAAAAAATGCCTAAAATGTTTACAAATGTCAAAGAAACTAGATTATTGTTCATATGATTGTTAATAACAATAGTAATGATTAAATTCAAAATAAATTTTTACTAAAATCGACATAGATTACTTAAATAAATATAAATATATCTGAAAAAAAAATTTTGTTTATAAAAAAGAACCAAAGTTATCTATTTGTTAATTAACATTGTTTGCAACAATTTAAATAAATTGTATTATACATTATTATTTGTCTGGTGGTCATGCTGGACTAATTAAAATTGATTCCAATCATCTGCAATGAAAAAATAAAAAAGTAAACATGATTTTTTCTAAAAATATTGTAAATTGTTAACTTTGAGTAACAAAAAAATATAAACAATTTAAAATTCAAAAATTGGTTTAGTGGGATCTCTTAGAAATTTTATCCCCTTTAATTTAAGACCAAGCCCATGAAAATCTGATAAAATTTGTAGGTTACAGACAATTTTGAAAAAAATGCCAATGCGCGCGGGGCGAGTTTAAGGGGGTCACCACGTGTGGTGGGTTCAAAAAATCGAAAAAATTTTTTTTCATAAATCACATCTACAATATGTGTAGAATATGTAACGCGACACCAAGAAAGGTACCTAAGAAGCAAACGAATTATAGGTTGGGTTCGAGTTAGATTTATCTTGATTAAAAGTTCATTTTTAATTATTTGAATTTGAAACCAATATTCATTAAATATTTTGAATATAATAAAGACTTGAAGACCAACAATTTTTAATTATTAATTGATTTTCTTTCTGTACTTTTACTCAAAAAATTTAAAACATAACCTCAAATTTTTTGCTTCTTAGGTACCTTTCTTGGGAACGCGTCACATATGTGGGTAAACAGAATTTTTTATTTTTGACATCCTAAGAAAGTTACAGCACTAAGAAGACAAGGAGTTGCCAAGCGAATAATGTATTACTTAAACTTTGACAGGCGTTTTTCTCAAAACTGTGTTTTTCAAACTGGCGTCCATGATATCTCGAAAACGGCTTGACCAATATCGCCCAAATTTATAGGGCGTGTTCAGCACATATGTGGCTGTCGCCCGAACTAGGATAATTGAAAGAGGTCAACTTGTTTCTTTTTTATACAACAAAATAGACCAAAAAAATCACGTTTTTTTGAAAAAAAAATTTCAAAGCCGCGTAAAAAATTCAATTTTTAATATTTTCAAATAATCCTAGTTCCGGCGATAGCCACATCCTCACAGATTAAGATGCCTTTTGATTTTTCGATTTTAGTTTAGTCAATTAGTCAGTATCGTGGACGCCGATAGACGGCGTTTTTATGATCATCATCACTTTCCAGTTTTATAGTTCGGAATCAGTAAAATGTTTTTACTTGCAAAAATTTTAATTTGTTGTTAAAATGGAACTGAATATATGGTAAAAATTTTGAAGTCCTAAGTTTTCATGGTTCTTAAAAAGAAAATCCCAAAAAAACTCTTAAAAAACGTCTGCCACACGGGGTGACCCCCTTAACGTCATATAAAGCCCTACATGGCTGCAGTTTTTAATTAATAACTTTTTTTCTAATTGAGGCTCATTTTTTTTCGAAACGGTTTTACACTTGGAGACATTTAAGGAATAGAATACATATTTAATTTTTTTGTTAGGACGCGAAGAACATATTTGTTTATTAACATTTTATAAACAAATGATATAAAAATCGGACAAGTGCGAGTTGCACTCGCATTAAGATCGAGGGTTCCGTACACCAAAATAAAACTCATTTTTTATAAAAAAATTATTTCAAAAATTCTTACAAAATTTGAAAAAAATAATTAAAAAAATAGTAATATATTTTTTTAAATTTCGAATAAATAATTTTATTATTTTATTTTATCAATAATTCTTTATATTTTTTCTCTTATAGTACTTATCTTCGCCAATCACCATCTCTTTATTTTTTCTATAATTTGCACTTGAAAAAGAATATACAAACTGAATTTTAACTCACCAGGTTTAAATTTATAAAAGTTAAAGTAGGGACAGTGTAATTTTTTGGAAAAATTCAAATTCTTGCCCTTCAATTTCGCAAATATCTTCGCCAATCAGGTTCGCTATATTTTTCCTGTAATCTGCACTTAAAACTGAAGATCCCTAACGAATTTCAGCTCAACAAGTTAAGATTTGTAAAAGTTAAAGGGGGGACAGGGTCATTTTTTGCAATTTTTTCGAAAAAATTGAATTTCTTTCCCTCCTAGTTCGCAAATATGTCCGTCAATCGGGTTCGCTATATTTTTCCTGTAATCTGCACTTGAAACTAAAGATCCCTACCGAATTTCAGCTTATCAAGTTAAGATTTGTAAATGTTAAAGGGGGGGACAGGGTAATTTTTTCAATTTTTTCGAAAAAATTGAATTTCTTTCCCTCCTAGTTCGCAAATATGTCCGTCAATCGGGTTCGCTATATTTTTCTTGTAATCTGCACTTAAAACTGAAGATCCCTACCGAATTTCAACTCACCAGGTTGAGATTTGTAGAAGTTAAGGGGGGGGGGACAGCCCATTTTGCGTGGCTGGGACGGACACACGAGTGATTTCATAAGAGTTCCGTCAGTACACCTATGGTGTACGGAACCCTAAAAATTATAAAAAATAAAAAAATTTAAAAACAAAAAATATATTTAAATAGTGCAATTCAAGACGAAAAAAACCCATATTTTAATTTTAAAATCCGTCAACTAGAACTCGAGAAAAAAATTTGTTAATTTAGCAGTACTAAAAAATTCAATTGTTAATAACTTTTACAAAAAATTTTTTTTTTGGCTTAATATTTTCAGGGATTCTTTTTAACCATATTAAGAGTAAAAAAAAACTATTTTGGTTCAAAAAGAAAATTTTTTAATTTTAGGTTATCCGTTTGAGAAATTCTGACCCTAAATGTAATAAAACATTTTTTCGAGTACCTAATAATTTTTAGAGTGAATCAGAATCTTCTTTAGGGTCAGGGGATAAGTCAAAATTTTGTCTGGAAATCGGGGTAGAGTCAGGGAAAAACCAAATTAATTTTTTTGTGGCAACCAGTAAAATGATTTGTTTTTCATTATCATTAAAGTACAGCCAAAAAATATTAAAATACATAATGCCACTTGACAGCAGATTATTTAAAAATTATTTAATTTTGTTAGAATTTCAATTTTATTTAATTTGATTTATAAAATTCTGTAATTTATTACAGGACGTGGAATTCAATGAAATTCTACACAGCGCAGCGAGAATAGAATTTCTCTATTCGCATCTTTTCGACGAGGTGATCGTGAACGCTGACTTATCAATGGCCTTCGAGCAACTTGTAAACGCAATCCAGCGAGTAGAGACGGATCCCCTTTGGGTGCCTGCGTCCTGGGTCCAGTAAATTATGATGATGAATAAAAAAACTCAATCATTTCTATTGAAAACAAAAAGAAATACGGAGAGATTCAATTCGACTGCTAACTCTTTGTACTTGAAGAATTCCACTGAAGCAATAGGATTTGAGATTTAAGCAAGGAAAACAGAAAACTACGTTCGTATCATTTTATTTTCTTTCTTTTATGCATTATTCTTTTCTTAATCAGTATTTTATTCACAAAACGTGTTTTTTCTAGTGTCTTGATTATTTTCGTGTAGAATAGAATCACTCGACGTTTCTGCAAAAAAGAAAACAAAAGAAATTAATCTAGATTAAGTAGGAAATTTAACTAGGAACTGATTGGAGTGTTTTAGACTTCTCAAAATTCGAGTCATTCCAAAAGATTTTTATCTTATAAATTACCGAGTTATTAATTTTAATAATTAGAAAGACATTTATTTATTGATTGATTGAATAATTTGTAGAAATTAGTTGACTATAATTTTAAAAAAATTTAACTCTTGTACCTTGAATAAGAGAATGTCGAGAATTTAATTAAATTGGGATGAAAAGATTAATTTCCAGGTCAAATTGGAATGACTTTTTTAAAAATGGATTTTCGAAATTACAAATTCCAACTTTTTCAAGCAAAAGGAAAATTGAAATTTATCTCGAATTAATTGTTAATTATATTAAAGCTTTCAAGTTTTAAAATATTTTTAATTTAAGTTTTTAAATTTTCACGAAAAAAATACAAACTTTCAGGTTTTAAAATAATATTTAATGAGTATGAAAGAAAGGAAAAAAAGGACAAAACTAAAAAAAAAATATTTAAAGAAAATAGGGAATAATTTTTATCCTTCCCTGTGTTTAGAAAAGAGTAAAGTATCATCACTGCCAAATTTTATCGTTCGTTAAAAACAAAATAAATAAATTTTGAGCGAATGGCGATCGTTTCATTATTGATACATATTACTCTACTACTAAGGATAATGTTTAATTCCGATTGTTGTTAATTGTTGCCAAATAAAATTAAACTATACTATAAATATATATATTTGTGTGAGTGTATATGCATTTATAGTGTAAATAATATTATATATATAATAATATGAAATTGAAAGAAAAGAGAAATATGTCCCATATTGTATTTTCCACTCTGCAATCATTATAAAAATTATAATAAGCTATTTTCCATATTGCAAATTGACATTGCAGTAAATTTTAGCTCATCCTCAATGTACACGCTATATGTTAATGAAATATAGAATTAAAAACAAAATTTATTCTTGTGTTCTGGTAATTAATTTACGAGTGTTAGAGAATTATTTATTTCGTGTAAAAATTATTTTAAATCAAATTAATTAATTACATTACATTACATTAAAGTAAATTTTAATTTTTTATGCTTTTTGGCAATCTATACTTTTTAATAAAGAAAGTTCTTTTTGTTTTTGATAATCCAAAAATTATTTTTAGTATTTTAAATGATCAAAAAAAAAATGATTTTCATTATGTAGTATTTTTAACGATTTAAAATAGTGATAATTATTTTTTATTTCAAATATTAGGCATATAATATTTAAAAATACTTTTTAAAATAAAATTTTAATTATTTCAAGAGAATAATTGAATATATTGAAAATATTTGTAATCGTCTAAAATAGCTGAGATGGTTAAATAGAATACAGAAAATATTTCAAAAATCGTTTCAGTTGAAAAGAAGTTCAACAACCCATCAGATATGCAGATTCATACAAAAATCGATTTTTAGTTTTCTCAAAGTGTTTTAAAATGGAAATTTTCGAGTGAGATTGAATTCTTGCTTTGAAATTTTAATTGAACATTTCTTCTTCTATAATTACTCTATTTTTATTTGTAAATTTGTCGAATTTTTCTATTATTTTTTGATAAAATAATTAATAATATGGTTTTGTACTAATTTAATTTTTTTATCTTTCTCATTTTTCGGTCTCGCTCTGTGTTTTACCGATGAAAATATGTTTTTCTTTTTTTCTTTTTTTTTAGGGAAAACAGATTTGAATTCTAATTTCAAAGTTTACACAGTGGGGAAAAAATAAAAAAAAAAGGTTTTCTTTTCTTTTATACGAGAAAATGACACCAATAAAGAGGAGTAATTTTCTCTCGATGCCAACGCCCGATGTAAATTAGAATCACTTGCTCAATATAAAATTAGAACATTTAAATTAAGATCCTAAAGTGGAGAGAAGAACCTTTCAATGCCTGTCTCAGTATTCTTGATTTAGCTAATTACACTAATGAGGACATTTTCTAATGCAACTTCTTTAGTCCTGAAAATCTGTTACTTTTTTCTTTTCTTTAAATTGCCTCTTGTGTAAACGAGTTTTTTCATTTAACTACGTAAAGAATTTTTTATTCTTCAATGAAGAGAATTTTGACATTTTTTTTATCACTTAATTATTCGCAAGGGGAATTTTTCCAAAAGGCCCCTTTTTCCTTCAATTTATAAATTATTTCTCTATCGCTTGTTATTGTATTTTTATTTATTTCGTAATACCAAATTTTGACTTTTCTCCTTTTTTCTATCTTTCATGAATTGAAAACATTTTTATTTTTTTTAAATAAAATATTTTTTAAAAAAATTTTTTCTATTAAATTAAAAATAAAAAGCCTTAGAATTAAAATAGGACTGCAGTTGTTTATCTGCTAATGAATTGCGGTAACTATTTTTAGGAATGAAATTAATAGAAAATTTGTTTAAGAGATTCATTATAAGCGTGAAAAAAGAGCGACGATTGCTCGTATATGATAATTTCTAGGTCGGGCGCTGACAACTCGGTCCCAAAGGGTTAATTAAATTAAATGAAATTATTCTCGGGTTCTTTGTGTAGTTTATGAAATAATTTCGTTGTCACTATGAGTCGGTGCTTTAATTGACACGCACTTTTAAAATAATCATTCCTTCAAATAAAGACAAGATTTTTTTGCCTCTTTTTTTAATTATTATTAATGAACATCTAAAAAAGAAGAATAATTTATAATTAAAAATGATTTGCTCTTGAAAACGACGCTTGGTGTTTCTTTGACGTCTCGACGGCCGTTTTTCTAGTCGATCGCGCGACGTTCAGATAGCCACGTCTTGTTTTCTTAACCAGTTCGTATCTGGTTCGTATCAATCTCCAAAGAAATCGAGTTGCCATTTTCAAAATAGAAATCTTCTCTTTTCCAAGTTTCACAATTATTGCTCTCTCTCTCTCTCAAGTCGAACGTCTCAAGACGTCACTCATAATACGAGAGATATCATTCTTATTAATAATTTCCTTTTTATTATCAATATTCTATTTTATTTTCAATAATATTAAAATATTAAAATAATATCAAAATTATCACGAGATAAATTTTAAACATTTAAGTTAAATTGTACCAACTGTACCATTTTAGTTAATTATTCTTTTGCTTTTGAGGTTTTTTCCAATTTAGTGCAAAAAGTGTCAGTTTGGAGGAACATTTGAAGACATTGTGCCTACCGATTTGAAGACGATGATAAAACCGATCGACATAAGTGATGGCTAAATATAAAATAAACGGAATATAGAAACGTGCACACCAAGTCTCTGTGTGGAGTATTTTTGGATTATTTTCTATGAAGAAATTCACGCCAGAGTGAGTGTTTACTTCCCTACCTGCTATTTTAATTTGACAAGAAATTATCTCGTGCTTTAGACGAAAATAATTCTTTCTTAAGTCAAACTTTATTTGTGCAAAAAAAATTGTTCTTAGTTTTGATTTGGATTTTGGAAAATTTGCTTTTTATTAACTGAATTTCTTTCAACAAAAGAAAAAAAAATGCGATTTTAATAAATTTTTTTCTGATTTTTTATAGATTTAGATTTCTGCTTTTATGGAAATAGAGAATTTTAGTAGTCGATTACACTAATTACAAACTTCTTTTTTTCTGTAAATTTTATTTGATTAAAGAGTTCACAATAATAGATCATCTATTGATTAGGAATCAAGGTGTTACATCTTCCAAGATTTATTTTTAGATATTTCTTCATCTTTTCGAATCAAGCGATCGCAAAAAAAAATTATTTATAAAAATTCGCATTCTTCTCAATGAAATTCTTTTTTAAATTGCAATTTTCAGCAAAATTGTTCTTTTTTGTAAAATATTCATCGAAACAACTAACATTTTATAATAATAATAATAATAATAATTATAGTAATAGTTTCAATAGTAAATGACAGTAATAATATTTCAATTGACAAATTCAGAAACAAATTTTTATTGTCCACTACAGTGGAAGTAGAATTTTGCATCCGATATTGAACTTGATAGGCTTTTCCATTCACTACCGATTTCTCAAGTTGACTAAATAATTTGCCAACTGTCTTCACCCAATTTTATCGAGCTTTAATTATTTCAGAAAACTTTCAAACTTTTAAACCTTGATGTTTTATCGATAATGTGTAAAAGTGAAAGTTTGCGAATTCTCTCACATTTTAGAAAATGTGTGAAATCAACGGGGTGTACATTTTTACAACTGAAACAACATTTTAAGACGTAACTAATTTTTATTCTCTCTCTTTTTTTCTGCTAAAAATATTTCGTCAAGAAACAAACAAAGAATAGAGAAAAAGAAGAAAAGAATTATCATTTTTAAATAACTTGAAGTATTTTTGCAAATTATAGTCTAAATGGAAATTTTTTTTTTTAATTTTTTAATTTAGCTTTTTTTTTGCTACTTTACATATATATATATATACATATATATATATATATATAAATTATAATTTGCGACGTTGCATAAATTGTAATATAGTTATAATTCCTTTAATAGGGATGTAAAATTACTAAATTTGAAAGGATTATTAAATTACGAGTAAAAGGCAATTTAATTTAATGTAAAAGGTATTTTAATTATCCTAAGCTATAAGGGATAATTTAATTTAAGCGAATAATTAATTTCATTTAGAGAGTATTTGATGATTTCTAGTTGAGTAAATTATTATCAGTAAAACAAATTTATTGAATATTATTATTTTTTTTGTAAAAAATACAAAAAGGAGAATGAAAGGAGAATTTTTGTATTTTTTAATACTTTTATTAATATATATTTAATATTGATTATTAATTTTTTAATGAATTGGTATTTAAATAGAAAATATGTAATTAGAAATTGTTTTTTCTTTTTTGATCCAGTATCGGCAACTGACACCTGGACAAAGTTCGCGCCTGCGTTTCTTCTACATATACATATAAACGTATAAGACTTAGGAGTAACCCTCGTGGATTTTCACTGACGGAGGATGTAATTTAAACTTTAGCCCAGTAGACAATCAACCCCTTCGCGAACTCTACAATACGATCATTAAATTCAACCACGTGGACAGAAAAACATATCTGGCCCTCATTCAACACGTGTATTAATATGATCTATATTCTTTGAAAATTGATCATTTTTCACTTAGGGAAAAAAAACTTTTTCACTTTTCTCAATAAAAAGTAAAGTTTTCCATTTTAATAACCGCATGACACTTTTCAAATAGTTTATTAGCTACATAATTGTTTTTCCGCTATTCTTCTTCCCCTTATTATTATTACTATTATTACTATTATTTATTTTTTCGACACTGACTTTATATTTTACTTATCATTTATTTTTAATTAATTTTTTCGATATTGAATATTTATTTTTTGTTTTTGGAAATTATGAAATACAAAACAAAATACATTGTTTTGAAGGTCGAAAAAAATTGATAAATTAAAAATGTTAGGAGAAAAATAATGAAAGATAAATAGTAATAAATTTTAAGATTTAAAAAATTTTGATTTTGGTTTCGGTAATAACACATTTACTCATTTCAATTTATATTGTAATATGAAAACATCTAATTATATAACTCTGATTCAGAATTTCATTCACGTAACAAAAATTTATCTTTTTGACCGAGTTTCACGGTATATTTTTCTAAGAATGAAATTCACCAACCACATTACTTGATTTGTTTTCAAAATCTCGAGTGGAATTTCCATTAAAAATTTCAACAGTCCAGTAAAAAACGTAAACAAAAAACTTTTAAATATCAAAAATTTATTACAGTTTGTTAATTATAAATAACCTACTAAATAAAAAAATGCTAAATAAACAAATAAAAAGTAAACATAAAGAAATCGAAAACTTTTTTTATCTCAAAAAAATTTGGATATTTTTTCTCGACAATGAAAAGTGAAGAACACACGAAACATGAACTGACGAATAAAAGTTGAACCATTTTCTTCGCGACGGATTATATAATTGATTTCTCATTTGATTGATGAATTCTTGAAAAAGACTCCCGGAAACATGAATAAAATCGAAGTCGAAAATTATTTGGCACGTTTTCTGTTTAAGAAACCGTGATCTAGACCGTGACCCTGTAAAATGCAACCAAACAGATGATTTTAGTTGAGCATGGTGAAACTTTTATTAGAAGCTTCACTCAATTTTATGCCCTCTTCACACGAACGGATTACAATTTTATTTCCTTTTTTCTTCATTACAAAACTGATCAAATTATACACAACTACTGTCGTTTTCTAATTTACTTTTTATTTAATGTAAATTGCATGCGGTGTATGTTGAATCAGAAAAAAAATTAGTCTATAACGAGAAAAATTTTCGAATAAATAATTATTTAATAAGAGTTATAAAATGCAAAGAATTATAATAATTACATTTTTAATTATTAAATTAAAATTAAAATTAAAGAAATTAAAATAAACAGAATGTAGAATATTAATGTTTTGTAATTAAATTGTTTCAGTGGCTCTAAAAGTGGAATTTTCTGAAATATGGTCCTAATAGGAACTACCATTGATTGCTATCCATTATCAGCGTCATTCAAGATCAAGATAAAGCAAGTGAGTTTCATATTTTAAATTCATCATATTTTTTATTCAAAAAAAAAAGAATTGCCACTTGAATTTTTTACCATTTTGCTATTCAATGTTACAAAAATTTTACATTAAAATTAGCAATGACTTGTTATTTTATTATTTTTTTTCAAATATGAAGACATTATTGGAGGGAAAAAAATTGGTTGTATTAATCCTGAAAAGTATTATTAATGATTGGAGCTTTCGTGCTTGAAAGCTGACATGAATTTTAATGGGAATTTTATTCACTGTTGAGGTCTTCATTATTTTTATCACTCGCAATTTATACAACGAATTTTTTTTTCTTTTGCTTTAAAAACCATTTAATATACATTTCTTTCGACTTTTAATTTGCTAATTTATTATTATACTTAGCTAATTAAATCAATTAATTTTGTAAATCGATTATAATTCGATTATAATTTATTTAGAAAATGATTAATTTTTTAATTTGTTCTTTTATGAAGTAATTAAGTTTTATAAATAATTTTTTTATTTTTACTCTTTACATTTTATTTATTAATATAGATTATTATTATTAATGTTTATTAATTAGCAGATTAATAATAACATTGGTTAAGTAATTGATAATAATATTTATCGATCAATTGATTAGTAATAATATTTATCAATTAATTGACAATAATTATGTTTATTAGTCGACTGATATGTAAGAGTAGCTATTTTTGAAGAACTATCGATCGAATAATTGCTAATGAAAATTTACTATTTATTGACTCAGGGATATTATGGGATTTTTCTTAGAAACCCTCCAAGAATACGGAGCAAAGATATTAAAAAAAATTGTTACCTTTGTTGTACTCACAAATAGTAGATAATTAGAAACTTTTATGCAAATTGCGTTAGTATATTTTTGAATTGTTTCTTGATAAGGACTCTCATCATAAGTAGTAACTTTTTTCGGAGGTTACATTTTGATTGAAAATTAAATTTTTCTCTCTTTATAAATATATATCGTATTGTATAAAGATTTTTTTTCGAAAATTTTTTGTTTTAATAAAAAATGTTCATTGTTCGGGAGAGAAAAAAAGAAGAGATCTTTACGAGAGGATGTCGACCTTGGCACACAGAAGGTGCTTCTCACCCTCGACTTTTTGCATGTCAGACTATACCTTATGTCACCTTTATCAACTCTTTTATCGGCCTCTTATCGTATCACACTTTCAGCACAGTCTCTGTTAAATTCAATTTTTTTCTTCTCTGTGAACATCACTTCCAAAACATTAATTTATTCATCGTTCCAAAAAGCTTGAAATTGTGTCAAAAAATTGTTCTCTTCTGTATTTTTATTCGATTGTTGATAAAAAAATTCTTTCTCTATTATTATTCTACAAAAAATATGTTTTATATTAATTATTATCAAATATCTTTTTTGAATAAATTCTTCAAGTACAGAAAGAATTTTTCGAATATTTAAAAAAAATATTTTTCTATAATTCTAACTCTTTTTTTAGAGGGAGTTAAAGATATTTTTGTTTGGGAAAAAAGAAACATTTTGAAGGAGAAAATTTTTTGGTACTATTTCATAATATGAAATATTGGAAAAAGAAGGGAAAAAAATGAAATTTCGTAAATGAGTTCTCATTTAAATTCGTGGCCTCCAGTCAGTGTCAAAAGCAAAAAGTACGCACACACGTGATGTCTAATCAACAAGATCGAGTTTCCGAGTGGAGTTACTTCAAAGTCAATCGAATTACATTCGAATTACAAGCTTTAAATGACTTTCTCTTTGCAAAATCTAATGAGCCTAGGATCGATTCTCACGTCTAGAAACTAAACTACTTTCATGTTTCCTGAATATCTCTGACTCATCTCTCAATTCTCTTTCTCTCTTTCTCTGATTTCACGTCATATTACTTTGTTTCAATCGATTAGCAAATTTTTATAAAAGAACAAGCAATTATTTCCCCCTATCTTTCAAATTTCAAATTCGGGGAAATTTTCAAAAAGTTTCGACATTTTCTCTCGAAAATCAAAATGTTTGATTAAAATGTAAAAGTTGAAGTTGTATTTTTGGAGCTTTCTCTTCTTTTTCCCACTATTTTCCTTTCGTCTCGTAAGCTAAATTTTCCGAAATGATAAATTTTCAAAATAAATTGGTAATTTGCCAAAGTATTTTACTTGACAAATTTTTTTTCTCGCATTTTTGCAAAAGCAAAAACAAAAATAGCATCATGTTTACAGAAATATAAAAAAATGAGACGTATTAATTTTGTTTAAATTATACTAATTCTATTATTTATAAAATTAGGGAAAATGAACAAATTTAGAACAATTTCGAAAATATAATTTTTCTAGTCTTGAAATAATAGAAGAAAAAAACAAAAATTGCGTAAGATTTCAAGCCGCAAAATATGGACGTTTTTTATGAGAGTGAAAAAATTTTATGAGGGAGAAAAATGGTTATGTGGAAGGAAAAAAAATTTATGTTAATGTGGTAAATAAATTGTTGGGAATTATCGGTGAGAGAGAGAGAGAGAGAGAGAGAGAGAGAGAGAGAGAGAGAGAGAGAGAGAAGTGGTATATAAAATCCTCTATATAGTTATAACACACCGGAGACAAAGTACAATATAATTCTCAATTATTTCTCTTCTTTTTATATATTTTCTTAGCCTCTTATGGATCCAGGACCAGGATCAGTACAAATGTCGGGAAATCGTAAGGTAAAACTTTCAACTCCCACTGGAATTAACATTTCAAGTTGTACAAACCAAAGTGGTGCCAGTGGTGGCTCCTTTATTCCTTCTGAATTAAATTCTGGATTTGTCACCGTTCATCCAACTTCATTTCAAGTAAGTTTCTCCTTTTGTTAATATTTAAAAGAAATTTTTTCCTCAATGCACTTTTTTTCGATTTTGAACTTAATTTTTGGAAATCTTGTCTCTAATTTTCAATTTCGAGTGGAAAATTATTTCTTCATATTTTACAATTTTCATAAATATAGATGAACTTCACAAAGGCTTTAATTTTAAATTTTATAAAATTTTAATTTTTAATTAATTTAATTAGAAATTTTAAAGAACTTAGATTTTTGAAAAATTTTAATAATTCAAATTTGTTTGAAATTAGTTAAATTTGTCAATATATATTTAATTAATTATTAAAAATAATTATTTATAGAAGAATTTTAGTAAATTGTAGGAATTAAATTATTTTCACAAGTAATTATATTCTTCGCAGAAATTTAATTATGTTGACAAATTTTTTAAAATTCTCGTCAAAAATTGAATTATCCTTATAAATAACAAAATTCTTCTCCAAAATTCAATTATTTTCAAAAATGTTTCTTAATTCAATGATTTTCAATATCTACTAAATTTTTAATTTTAAATAAAATTCTTTCTAAAAATTCAATTATTTTGAATGCGATTTTAATTAAATTCCTCTAAAAACTTTAATTATTATCATAAATTATGTTAAATTTTAAGCAATAAAAAATTCTTTGCAAGAATTAAATTATTTTCACAAATAATATAATTTTTCACCAGAATGCAATTATTTAAAAACATTTTTATGAAATTCTTCCCAAATACCTATTCAATTATTTTCACAAATAATAAATTCATTGCAAAATTTCATTTATTTAAAGAATTTTTTCATTCTTTCATGGAATTCAATTAAAATTATTTAATTCTTGTAAAGAATTGTATTAAAATTCTTAAAAATAATTAAATTCTTTAGAAGAATTTCATTAAAAATTTTTAAATAATTGAATCTTATCGAGAAATGTTTCTAAAATTGTATTAAAAATAATTGAATTCCTACGAAAAAGTTTTATTAAAACTTTCGAAAATATTTGAATTGCTGCGAAAATTTTTATAATCATGAAAATAATTTGCCTAGAATTTTATTAAAATTTTTCAAAATAATTGAATTATGTAATGCAAAGATTTTTATTATTTAACAAAAATATTTCAATTAACTTGCGAAAAATTTTATTAAAATTTCTGAAAGTACTTTGAAGATCTGCAAAGAATTTTTGTTATTTTTCATTTATCCCAAGAATTTTATTAAAATTTTTGAAAGTAATTGAATTTCTGCGAATTTTTATCATAAATTTAATTAGGTATTTTTGAAAATTTTAATAAAAATTTTTCGCAAAAATTCAATTATGTTCATAAATAATAAAACTCATCGCAGAATTTTAATTATTTTTAATACAATTTTAATCGAATTGCTCGAAAAATTATTCTTCAAAATTTTATTAAAATTAGTCAAAAAAAATTCAATTATTTAAAAATTTGATGATAAATTTTTTTACGAGAATTCTTAAAGAATTATTAAAAATAATTGATTTAGAGAAGAATTGTAGTTAAAAATTCTAGAAAATAATAATCGAATTATTGGATATCAGGGAAAAGTCAGGGAAAAACAAAATTAAATTTTGGTGACAACTTTGTTAATTTTCTTATGGTGTAGAAAAAATATTTTTCTTTGTCTTTTTTGCTTGGTAGTAATTAAAATTTTCATATTTAAAGCACAATAAAAATATACTTTATTAAAAAAATATAAAAATTATGGAAGGAAGAATAGAAATAAAAAAATGGATGTTTAAAGTCGAAGACATTGTGTAATGGAAAGGTTGTTACATCGAATTCTATAGGTTATTGTCACATAAATGCTAATGTAAACTTAATAATGTGTATAAAGAGATGAGTTATAACCATCATATATAAATAGCGTCTTCAACGAGAATTATGAGAAGGAAAATTAGTTTAGACTCTGGACCGGGAAGAAAGCGTAACAAACTCAAGCGGCTTAACACTTCTGGTTGATTATAAAAGATTTGTTATTCAAAATTTCTTCCTGTAAATGACATTTGTATTTAATTTTTTCACTACTTTTACATTTACAATTAGGATTTACCTAGTATAGAAGTGAAGAAAAAAAATAAATAAAAAATATTTAGAGTTTTCATATATAATAATTAATAATTGGAGATAACACGTTTCGGGTGAGAGAAAATATTTCGCAAACTGACGGAAAAATATTTATTCAGTAATATGTGTTCCACACGCGATAATAATATTAACAGACAACAATGAAAGTAGTACTCGGAAATAGCTTGAAAATATGAAACCCCGTTCTCGAGGATTATTCAGACAATTTTCCCGTTTCGTGATAAATTTTAAAATGCATGCATCTTTCATAAATTAGTATAATAGAAAAAAAGTGATTGCTTTCTTTCGTCTGATGTGAAGGAAACTTGTTATTTTTTTCAATAATTATCAATTAGACTTCAATGACTAGAAATCAGAAAAGAAATTTTAATAATCACTGATTTTAATTTTCGGAATTTCCATTTTCGAAAACGTTAATTTTAATAATAATAATAAAAATAGTAATAATAGTAACAGTAACAAATAAAATAAAAATAGTTGAAATTTTCCATTTTAATAATTATAGGTACATTAAAAGTGTATTTTTGATTATTGCAGAAGATCCGGAGGAATCAAGACGAACAGCAATCAAAATGGCAGGAACGTAGTCAGAAGCCTCTTAAAATTCCCTCTGGACATTCAATTATTGTGAATAACTATAGCATAGTTGCATCCCGTGGCGAGTTAGCGAGGAATAATAATAATTTCGACGAACACAAAAATAAAAGGAAAAGTCTTCAGTTAAATGCCAAAGTTTCCAATGAAGAATCAAGAAGAAAATCAACAATAATTCAAAATTCTCGTAGTAGTCAGAGGGAAACAGAGAGGGAGACAATCAGAACAAAAAATTCTCGTAACAAACAAACGTCTATGAAAAAATCTTCATCAGTACCCGCCAATCTCAAAGGTGAGAATTTTTTCTCAATTTTTTTTTGCACTGAAAGATTACAAATTTAAAAATTAAAAAAAGATTCGTGTTTGTTTTTGTTTCGATTTTTTACTGAAAGTATAATATTTTTTTAGCAAAATAAATTTTACCATTTTATCGAAGAGGACAAAATTTGCATTTATTGAATCGAATTATATATAGAGAGAGGTGGATAAATTTGCATTTATTGAATGTGTTAATGAAAAATCTGCATTTCGCGAATCCATAAATAATTAAGCTTTCCACTTATTAGTTTTTAATATTGGGAAATAATTTTACTTTTTTGAAAATTTACATTTAGCCTCTTTTTTGAAACTGAAAGGCATTTTTTCGATTTTTATTAAAAATATTAAATTATTATTAAAGATACTAAATTGTTATTTAAAATACTAAATTATTGAAAAAAATAGTAAATTATTATTAAAAATACTAAAGATACTAACAAACTAAATTGTTATTGAAAATATTAAATTGTTACCAAAAATACTTAATTATTGTTAATAATACCTAATTATTGTTAATACTTCATTATTGTTAAAAATACTAAATTGTTGTAAAAAATAGTAAATTATTATTAAAAAAAAAACTAAATTGTTGTTTAAAGAAAATAAATAAATTATCATTAAAAATACTAAATTATTATTAAAGATACTAAATTATTATTAAAAATACTAAATTATTATTAAAGATACTAAATTAGCATTGAAAGAACTAAATTATTAATACTAGATAAATAAATAATCTAAAAAATAATATATTGTATCGTTAAAAATAAATACTATGTTATAAATAATTTGCATGTAGGAAAACAAAATAAATAATCAGGTCAATAAGGTTAATTTTGAAACTAAAAAATTGTCTCATACGAATCATAAATGCTTATTATTTATTTATTATAATTATACTTTTTATTGGAATACAGATATAAGAATAATATTAAAATACAAATTTAGAAAAACTCTCGAAATTTGAATTTCTAATAAAAATGCAATAAACTAAAAAAAGAAAGGAAAAAAATGAATTTTTCGGAATAATATATATAATTTGTAAATGCATGAAAGAGGAGGTATAATATGAAAGTAAAGAGATATTATTTAGAGTGCATAACCCTTCCCTAGTGGCGGTTTATATTTATAGGTTCGCAACCTAGAGAGTAGTTGGAGTTGGTCTGGGAATTAAATCTAATATTCTCGGGATTTTCTCGTCTCCATCCATCTCGTGTGTTATAGTTGTGTCTATTTCATGTTTGTTCTCTCTTAGCATTCTGACGATTCTGTTGTAGAACTCACGAGACGAGAGAAGCATTCGGTCCGTGTTCCAGAAGAGGAGGAAGTGGGGATCCTCAAAAGGTCCTCATCATTTTTGGCTGGTCTCGCTTCCGGTAAACAGAGTACAACGACAGCGGCGACGACAACGTCGCTTGACCGGAAATACGGCCCTGAATTGCAGTGTGGCGCGACTCCGCGACCCGCGAAAGCGCAGAACACGAGTGGCATTCGCGATGATGAGAATCGTCTCTCGTCGGCTCTAAAACGTTATTCATTGTCACTTGGTGTCTGTAAAAAAACAACAACAACAGACACTCGTGGTTTTAAGGATTGGAGTAATAAAATATCGAGTGGTGGGAAAAAAACTGTTTCCTTTAGTGCGGATACAAGTTTTCAGGACAAGAAGACAAACTTTCAAAGAACGGCAATTCACGAGGCAAAAGTTTATAAAAAAGGAGTCCTACAGGGTGAGTCTCTTCTCTTCTCTCTTTTTTTCAGTTTTCTTTTTTACACAATTTATATTTAATATAAAAGCCAAATTACAGAAAAAGAGAAAAATTACAATATATTAATTTACTTTTTTAATTTTATTCAAAATGAATTAATATAGTAAGTGGGAATAAATTTACGTAGACATTGTATTCAAATTTCTTTTTTTTTTTTTTTATTATAGTAATAAGAATATTGGAGACAAAAAAGCACGTGCACTATCCAGACATTTTTTTATCTGCGTAATTTTTTTTCGAAATAAAAAAGAAATATACATGATTTGACGCACGTTTTCATTATTCGTGTTCATTACTATCAAAAGAATGTTCAGTTATTACAATCCAGATGAAAATATAAAACCGAATTGTTTATTATAAAATCACACAAATTTTAAGCGAATATTTTCTATTTATTGATTGTTTTTTTTTACTTTTAAGTAGATTTATTAAATTTTTTGATTAATTAAGAAACTGTATTCTTAATATTTGAAAAAATAGAGTTTCTAAAAATAAAGAAAATAAATATAATATATTTTTATTTATTATTGATTTATTATTTGTACATTTTTGTTTATACCGAACAATTTTAATATAATTTCAATGTAATTTTGATTTAAAGTTAACTTAAAATAAAATTTGTATGTTAATAACGATAAATATTATGCATAGACGAATTTGGATCAAAAAGACAATAAGATGCAAATATTACAAGTGTCTCTCTAATTTATACGCTCATATGAAATTGTATACCGTTAGCGATAAGTTTTGTATTTTACGAGAGAGCATTAAATGCCTTAAACAAATGGGTTCATCTGTATTTTCGGAATAAACGTTGAATTTAAATGAACTTTAACTCCCAACGCGAATGTATTTCATAGCAATTATTGTATATACGTAGAAATTTTTAATAATTTTTAATTTCTCACATCGAGTGTGAAATTGTATATACTATTATTACCGTATACAAGAAAATTTTCCAATTAGATTTTTTATTGTATTCTTTATTTCGTTTTATTGTATTGTATTATTTATTTTATGTTTTAGTTAATTTATTTATTTATTTTGTATTTACTTATTTATTCAGTTACACCAATGGGCAACTATATATATTATTTATAAATTAATTACTAATAAAAATAAATAATAAATAGAATTAAAAAAAGTGAATTACTATTAAATTTTTGTTAAAACCGCTTTTTAAATTATTTTCTAGCAATTTAGACTTTTAATTACAAAATAATTATTATTTATATACAAAAAGTTTACATATGGAAGATAAATAGAAACAAAAAAGTACGTGGGAATAAATAAAAAAAAGAGAAAAATGAAAACTTATTTTCTTAATTTAATTTTGTTTTATTTACGCAATAGAATAATTTCAAATAAATGTCAGAGTAAATAAAACATTTTATATTAATGAAAAAAAGACCAATACGAACGGCATTTCGATATGGAGTATCTGTAATCCTGTTTACACTATACGGATGATATATCCTTGGATGTTATAAATGTTACTTATTGTTTAACTTCACTATAGAAATAAGAGAGTGTAATTGTGTATAAAAGCTCTCTCTCTCTCTCTCTCTCTCTCTCTCTCTCTTTCCCTTTTGAAAAGCCGTTGTGTATCGATGAACCAGTTTACAAAGAGTTTGATACACATTTATTTTATTTTTATTTTTATATGAATAAAATGTATAATCATATTCATTATTATATATTTAATTTAGTATATAAAATACGAGTTGATGGGAAATATTTTCAAAACAAAATTTTTAATTCTAATATTTATGAGAGAGAACATTTTTTTTTATTCTTTCAAATATAAAAATCAATGTTATCGCTTTTTCTACGTGCAGTATAATTATGCCACGTTTTTAATTCATATTGGCCTTTTTTATCATAGATAAACACAAAAGGAGAGAAGGTGTAATTAGTAATGAATTCAAAATAATTCGAGCAATTGTAAAATTGTCTATTACTTTTTTTGTGAGACTAATTTTATAATATGGAAATAATAATTATTAGTAATAATAATTTTTAGTAATTATAATTTAGAAAACAGTGATAATAGTGCCTACTTTTTATTCTATTTTTTAATCCAAATTTAGAAAAAAGGAATTTTTTTAACTGTTTTTTTGGAAATTTATTTTTAAAAAAATACTTTTTTTTCTATTTTTTAATCTAAATTTAGAAAAAGAAATGTTCTTAACGCTTTTCAGGAAATTTATTTCAATAGCTACTATTTATTCTATTTTTTATCTCAATTTGGAAAAAAGAGAAATATTATTAATGCCTTTTTGAAAATTTATTTTAAAAGCTATACTTTTTATTATATTTTTTAACCAAGTATAGAAAAAAGAGACATATTTTTAACGCTTTTTTGGAAATTTATTCCAACAACTACTTTTTATTCTATTTTTTTAATCGAAATTAAAAAAGAAATCTTTTTAACTCTTTTTGGGAAACTTATTCCAAAAGCTACTTTTTATTTTATTTTTTAATACAAATTTAGAAAAAAGAAATCTCTCTAACTCTTTTTTTGAAATTAATTCCAAAAGATATTTTTTGTTCTATTTTTTATCCACAAGTTTAGAAAAAAGAAATATTTTTCTTTCAGATCGGGGCGAGGAAGGTGCGAGAACAGTGTCACCTTTGTGGGAGACGCCTCCCGGGGCTCTACTCAGGGCGGCCCGGGAGGCCGACGATGAAGCCCTTAAAAAAATCGTCACGCGAGTCGAAAAGTTTGGACTGGGTGACATGGATGTTAATTTCACCGACAGCAGCGGAAGAGTGAGTGATTAATTGCCATTTTATAATATGATGAATCGACTCTCTTTCAAATGTCGCCTTTAAAAAATATCAACCACCGCATATGCAGTTATATCACAAAATTATAATTAGAAACAGAAAAAATTCTTTTTCCAAAAAGAGAAAATTTTGAAAAAATACAGTTTTACAATTCTGATAAAATTTACAAAAACAGAGAAAAAAGAACAAATTTACAAGAACGAAACGAAAGCAATAAAATGTTTGAAAAACGAATTTTATATATTTTAATATATTAAAATCCTTTTTTGCTTTTGTTCTCTTTTTGTAAATTCGTTGTTTTTTCTCTTTTTTTAAAAAAATGTAACCTGACTTCTAAAAGTGTCTTTTTTCAAAATAATAAACGTAAGCAAAAAAATGTTTAAAAAAATAATTTTATATATTAAAATCTGTAAAATTAGGCCTGTGCGGTATTAAAAATCCATAACCGGTTTTCGGTTTTTGAAAAAACCGGTTCTTTAGTCGGTTTTCGGTATTAAAAAAAATACCGGTATTTAAAAAAAGCCGTTTTTTGAATACGAGCATTTAAAAAACGGTTTTTTAAATACCATTTTATTTAAAACGAAAACTGGTTCAAGAAAAATTTTAAAATCCTTTTTATAAATGTATTATTTACAAAAAGAAAATTAGAAATCAGGATTACACTGTATAATTAATTAAAAAAGATTTATTATGTAGAACATGTCTTATAAACATTTTTTTGCTTTCGTTGTTCTAGATAATTTATAAAATTATTTTAAAAAATAAATATCGAAATTAAATTAAAAGAGGATGGAAAAGTTTGGTTGGATTCAAATAATAGGAATTAAATTACCTTTTCAATTTTTTCATTTCGCTTCTAAATACGTTGTTCTTATATAGAAGCCAAGCTATAAATTGGCTTTTTTACAGCGAACGTGATAAAATTTTTATATTAAACTTTTTCCTGACGAGTATAGTCCCTTAACATTTTTTACGATGTCCATTTGCTACACTGAAAGGGGTAAAATGATGCTAAATTTGGTCGATCCTGCCTCCACTCTTCATTTACAAAAAGGGAAATTTAAAACGAAATTTCAAAATTTATTTCAACCAAAAGAATTAGTAAAATAATTTCTAATTAATAAATACAAAATAAATAAACTCTTTAGTCTTTTAATTAATCTGCTATACATTTTTCGAGATTTATTAGTTTTGATTTGATTTTATGATTTTATTATTTTATGTTTGTTTTGTTTTTATTTCTTTTTTTACTTTTTGCTCGAAATTTACTATCGTTTTCTTTTCTCCTACTAATGGAAATAAATTAGTAAATCGTGACATATTTCTACTAAATTTATGAATATTTTTATCTATAATATCAGTTTATGAAATTTCCTATGAGACTTGGAATTATAAATTGTATAGTATAACATAATTAAGTGGCTTACATAGCCTCGTTCCCGGTCTCTCAGTCTCCTATGAATAAAATGCCTCGAGGGATTCACAAGCGAGTGATCGACATTAAGTAAACGAAATTTAATTCGTTGAGGTGTTCCTCTCTTTTGCCTGTTATAGTTTATAATGTAAATGAAAATGCAAACAAAACAAATAAATTAAGGAAAAAGAAAGAAAAAAGAAGAAGAAATATAATAAAAAAGAAGAACAAAAGAAGGAAAAAATAAATTTTTTCAAATATGAAAACAAAAATCGAATCGAGTGTGGAATTATTAATGAAAAATGTTATTTATGTAACTGTTTTTTTTTGTTTTTTTGTTTTAGTGTCTTGTTTTTGAATGCATCAAGAATGAAGTTACATATTATTTATAAAATGAAGAAAAATGCAGGAAATAAATTATTGTTAAAGAGAGACCACTTAATATTCTGCACGAGGCAAAATTGTATATGCTATTGTGACTTCTCAATAATTGGCACAATCCAACTAAACAGTCATTAGCAGTCATTATCTAAAGTTCGAAGGAAGTTTTCAAAAAGAATATTAATAAAAAAAATAAAAATAAATAGAGTTCAATGACCAATTTTCGTTAATCAACGAATGTAAACACTAGAAAATTTTTTTTACTTTAACTGTGTTTATTTTATACGAAATTGTAAAAATATTTCTCAAAATTGGATAATTTTGCAAAATATTTATATGTTTCAAAAATTAGAATTAGGTATTAAAATAATAGTTTTAGGCAAGAAAGTTTTCTGATATTTACAAATAAAAATGTTTTGTAAATTTTTTCCAGAGAATTTTTATTTTTCGTGAAACATTGAAATGTTTATGAAGCGAATGTAAATTGAAATATTTCATGTCAATAAAGTTAAAAAGCGAGGGAAAAAAATTATAAAACTACAAGGAAAGAAATTGTAAAACATTCTCGTAATTTATATTTATATATTTTGTATGCTTGTGACTTAAGAGAAATTCTTTTTTTTGTGAAAAAACTCCACGACTCTCTTGAAGAAAATCAATGTTAGTGTAAACACATATCATTGATTTCTTTATGAAGTTTAAAAGAGCGTGAATTTTCAGGCAAACACGAAATTATAGTGTGCATGTTCATTTTCTGTACACAGTTAGCGCGCGTGGAGATTGCATTCTCGGCTCTTGTTTTAAATTCGCATTTCAAAATATTTAGGATACTTACTTGTTTCGAGAGTCTATTTTTAAACTCACATAGGTACTGCTTGTCTCTTGATATATAAATATATATATGCACGTATATTTATTTAAAATAGATTTTATACTAGATATGAAAATTAATGTTCTATTAAAATTTTTTTCCTTCTTGTCGCCGTAATAAAATTTCACTTTTAATATGCTATAAACTTTGTATAAAATTGTAAGAAATCGTCGAATGGAATATTTTCGTTTTAATCAATTTTTTAATGATAAACATAACCCAGTAAAAAAAAACTAATTCAAATGAATTGAAACGAATTAACATTTTTGGTAGGCTCCAATTCGTATTTGTCACAAAGCGGGATTCACTTAAGCTCTTTGTATATTCAATTGAATTTAATTCAATATGTACCAATTTGTCCAAACGAATTCGCATTCGAAAGAAATGGCCAAGGATGCTCCACCGCTTAATTCTGAGTCGCTAGTTGGAGAAAAAAAGGCGTCCTCAAGTAGTCCTAGCCAGACGTATGCTAAGACCGTCTTAAAAGAAGGAGCGGACAATAAGGACGGCTTTAAGGTTGTTAAAATCTCCTAAAATCAGGAGAACCTTTAAACAGGAGGTTCTTGTGATAGTGAAAAAGGGTGGAGATACCTTGAAGTTTGCGGAAGCACTGTCCTCGGCTCTGCATGGCGCCTTGCCATGCGAGGTCACTGCTCTCGTAAATAAAAGGACTCTTGAGATCAAGGAGCTGGATGAAACCACGACTGAGGATGAGGTGATTTCAGTTCTGAGAGATAAGCTGGGCAAACCTGATCTGAAGATAGAGTGCCACCTTTTGACGCGCTTTAGAAGTACTAAGGTGGCTCTAATCCGCTTAGCAGAAGCAGAAAGTGACATTCTGCTTAAACTTAGCCGAATCAAAATCGGCTGGATAAATGCTCAAATTCGCGAGCATGTTGAAGTAGCTAGGTGCCAAAAGTGCCTAGGTTACGGACACAGAACCCTATTCTGCAAAGGCCCCGACAGAAGTAAAAACTGTCGGAGATGCGGCGGAGAGGGACACCTCGCGAAGAGCTGTAACGTTAAGCCGAAGTGCCTTACATGCTTGGTGGGAAAGCCAGAAACAAATCATGAGTCCGGAAAGAGAGCCTGCCCGGTTTACTGGGAAGAACTGCAAAAGATTAAAAGGGCAAATCCTTAAAATTTTTGCAGGTCAACCTGCATACAAGTAAGGATGCACAGTTGCTCCTAATGCAAACAGCAAGGGAAAATGAGGTCGATATCCTGTTCTGCAGTGAGCAGTATCAAGGAAGCGATCTCGCCCCTTGGTATCAGGATAAGGCGAAGAGAGCCGCTATAAAGCTGTGCAACCCAGAATTGCGGGTTGACAAGTTTCTGGAGACGAGCAGTGGGTTCGTGTGGATAGAGGTAGCTAATATACGTATGTATAGCTGCTACTTCTCACCCAACTACCCACTGACAAACTTCGAAGCCAATATCGAAGACCTAGAAGCGAGCCTCACAGAATCCAGGCTGGATGTCATCATCACTGGCGATTTTAACGCAAAGTCGCCAGAGTGGGGTGAGACGAGACTCGACAAGAGAGGAATTCGTATTGGAGAAATGATCTCCAGAAACGACTTATTGGCTGTAAACCGAGGCAATACATGGACGTTTAGACGAGGTGCGATCGGATCAATTATATATCTAACGATCGCATCGACTAAACTATTTAGCCGCATAAGCGACTGGCGGGTCTCTGAGGCTGGAGTCCCATGGCAGCGTTTTGCGTTGCGTTTTGTAACTAGGCCATGAGTGTGAGAGAGATCGAGATATATGTTTGCTGTATTTGCACTCATGGCCTAGTTACAAAACGCAACGCAAAACGGTACCATGGGACTTCAGCCTGAGGAATATACCGCAAGTGACCACCAGTACATTGAGTTCTCAGTCTCGATGGGAGACACACAAGGAGGAAAGAGACAGGATGTTCCTAGTCGCAAGACCTCCTTGTGGAATATAAAGAGACTCGACAAGGAAAAGTTCGGCCGGTCCCTAAGAGAAGCCCTTTTAATTGAGGACTTGGGCTGGGTGAAGAGGCCGAGCAGTCTGGATGGGGAGGTTCGAGCGGTGAGGAACATGATAGTCACCGCTTGCAATGCGTCTATGCCACGCAAAGGCGCCATTCCCGTAAGAAAATCCTTGCACTGGTGGTCAGAGGAGCTAGCCTCCTTGAGAAAGGAATGCCTCAAAGCAAGAAGGACATATACCCGATCTAAGGGAGATCCCTTGCTGAAAGAGGCATTCAAGGAGGCGAAAAAGGGCCTCAAAAAAGAGATCCGCAGGTCGCGACGCCGTAGCTGGAAGGACCTAATC